ATAATGTATCACTGAATTTTGTTAGTTTATCTTAATAAAATTTAACCAAACTGACTGCTGAAAGCGAATTGTTAATCAATGTTTCATTCTAGTAAACATTTGCAACAATTAAATAAAACTTAATGCAATCATTCAAAGTTATACTGTCAATCTCGTAGATAATGTCGTCCTAAACACGCATGAAATATTTGCCACTGGACGTTAAGCAACCAACAATCAATCAATCGTAAATAATGCTCATTTAATGCAGTTGAATAAGTACATTGTATTTCCTTAGACATACTTGTTACGTACATGCTACATACCAATGATGTGTTGATGACTACCATTCTAATTAACCAAACTAACATTAACAGTAGAGGGGAAGTGACTTGGAATTCTGAAAATTATACTTGATTAACTAAACAGTCTGATCTTCAAATATCTAAAATTGACAGTTGAAACAAACATCGGAATCAAAACGGAAAAAATCTGTTTTATTGCGGTCATGAGATGCAATCTAAATTACTATGACATGTAAAAGGTTTTTATCATCACAAAACATACATTTGTAACAAGATAAAAATGATGCATATTTTATAATTAACAGCATCAGCTACTGCTATTGAACTATACACTAATAAGTTCTCTATAGGTAATAATATTTTTGATCCGGTTGATCACATCAAACAAAATGTCTTATGTAACGACATACTTTATTCTTTTATTTACTTCATATCATCAAAACAAGATGCTGTTATATTCTAATGAAACTTTTTGTCTACACACATTCTTGTTACAAAGTCGGATTAATGACATACCTTTGCCAAACACATCATATAAAGCACCAGAACATCAAGTACCTTTGAATCCCTAGCATACTAGTACCTTATAATAACAAGCATAAATCCAAATAATTACTAATGTTTTAACATTTATTATAAAAGAAAATGAACAAATATGTTTCTTAAGTATCAATATCTCGATGTAAATTAATGATTACTAGTGTAGGACAGCATGATTTCATATCAGTAGATTAGGTGCTATAGGAACTCCCATACAGTAACTGTGAGCATTCTTTATTACGGTATACTATGTTGATACCGTTGTTTAAGCGTTACGTGCTTCTTCCTGTAAAATTCTTTATTTTTTGTTCTTTTATACGAACAAAGTTAAAGGTGTGTCCATTAAGTCCGAAGGCGGGTGGTCAGTCGTGGCCTTTTTATAAATGTTTTGCTCTATCTTAATTATCATTGGACTTGTTTTCAGACTTGTTCGTATAAGTCTTCATTTTGCATAGCTTAAACTTTTATACGTAAATCGCATGCATATGTATCCATTATTGAAGAAAGCATACCTGTGGTACACTTATTACCCAAATGTGCGGAAAATAATTGTCAAAAATTGACAAACAAATTAAGATGAAAAAGAGGAATCATATATTCCTGTTATATGCTTATAACCACACCCAGATTGTCTAATTGATGTTCCTTTAATATGAATTTCATCAATGACTTACATATGATATTCATATACAAATGATAAAAATAATGTAACAAACTCCTAAAAATATATATCATACTGTTAATACACGCAAGAAAACTCGATATTTTTTCAACACAAATTAAAATATTCTATTGCTTTTTACTGTAAACAATATACTGACTGAAATATTATGTTTGTAAATTCCCAGTATAATAATTTATTCGAATAGATATTAAATTAAGCTTGCAACCCCCTCAGGCAAAGCTGAATTTCAATTTTGAATGTAACACAAACACGTTATGTGCGCAGAATTCAGTATTATATGTATTTTTTTTCGTTTGTGACATCAAATGATATTCTTGTTTTCATCAGCTATGATTATGTTATTTTCTATTTACTATTTTTCTATTTTTCTATTTTTCTATTTTATTTGTTTTTTGTTTTATATGGATTATTAATAACGTCTTTAAACTAAATCCATTGGTGTGTACTGATTGATATCTTAGTCTGGAAAACGTGATTATTTATTAGTTGAAATGGATTTAACTTGTGTTGAAGGACGTACCTTGACCTATAATGGTTTACTTTTATAAATTGTAACTTGGATGTAGAGTTGTCTCATTGGCACTCATACCACATCTTCCTATATCTATTAACTTGCTTTCAGTAACGATGAGGACCGTCAGTACTCTTAGATCAATATTAAATTTGTGTCTTTTTTGTTAGTTGTTTTTTGTGTTTTGTACAAACCTTTTTCAAATAATTTTAACAGTTTGTTCTCATGTTGTACTGTTACGCCAATGTTCCAGGTTAGTGCAGGGTTAAATGCTCACAAACATGATTAGCCCCACGGCATTCAGTTTTTGCCGGTCCCAAGTCAAACCCTGTAATTACGTGGTGGTCGGTGATCGCTGACTATCATATTTATTTTCGTTTATTGTTTTATGCATAAATGAGGCCGTTTATTTTCTGGTTAGAATTGTTTTACAATTTGTCTCTTGACGTGGCCTTTTATGGTTTAATAGATAAGGTACGGGTTATGGTCATTGTTGAATGCCTTACGTTGACCTATAGTTAGTTGCTTACGTCATTTGGCCTCCTCATTTACATTCATCATACCACATATTCTTATTTTTATATTGTACTGTAAAATTGTGAAATAATAAATGTACTTATATTTCAAAATGACATGCAAAAACTCGTAAACATAAAAGAAAAAATGAAGTATGACGGGCAATGACTGTAATCAAAACAAGCTTAATTATGCGTCTTAAAACCTTTGTGAAAAATGAATTTACGATTGTATCAAAGAGATATTACAGCATGATATTTGTTTCTCTTTGAGGCTTACTTGCAAGGTAAACATCATAAATCAAACGACGACTAATTGACTACGAAAAAACCTTTCCAAACAAATCTGCTTTGAAGTATTTCTCTTTTTCTTTTACAGAATATTCAATCATTACCATAAACCAATAAGGAAAACAAATCTACTGTTTTCCGATTCTTCACACAAAAATTAAGTTGCTAGTCAAAGAGGCAATGTTTCATTTTGTATATGCTTTGTAAACATGATGATCCAAACTACGAGGGTTTGACATATCAAATCTGTTCATATCTATTTCATTCAGATTGGTTCTTTTATTTGGCGTGACATGTGTAAAATTTCAAAGCAATTAAGAATTCAACCTAAATATCATGATATCACAAAATAATTGATTGATTTCTGCATAACGACCAGTATCAAATATTGATATGTTAACGAGAAATAAAAACACACTACTTTGCATTAATATAGTATTAAACATATGTTTGTGAGTAAATTATATTGTTCATCTTATGGCTGTGGCCTTTTATATATTTCCCACACGAAGAGATATTTCTCCTATCACACTGAACGGAGAGTGATTTGGATATGTGATACGAAAAATGCGTTATTTGGTCGGCTGACTCTCCTTGGCAACGGAGATTTGTGATTTCTTCAATGATCTAAAATAAAAGAAAAAAAACCATTCGCATATATAGGGTTAATTTGAAAATATTCTTTTTGTCAAATTCAATTCCATTCTATGATTACAAAAAGCTTCTACCGAAAAATAAAATATCAAAGCATTATAAGCGGAAACGCTTGTATCTTATCATTGTAAGGATTCCTGATTATATAAATTAAATAAGAACCAGAAGTTGTTAGATCTTGAAGCAGTTGATTAGGTTGTTTTGGAGCAGGGGACATTCACGTGTTATCTATTTGACTCCCTTTCTATATTTACTTAGTAAATTTGTAAAGTTGAAAAACTTATAGGACCCTATATTCTTTTTCGGTCCGTTTTGGTTATATATAATCATGATAATAGCTTCTTTTGATTTCGAGTATTCATATATTCTTTTGCTATTATTTTTGTTCGTTTGTTTGTGCGTTCTAGATGAACGTTAATAAATTAAAAAAAAACACTTTGGATGCACCAAATTTATGAATAGATATTTTCATATTATATCGTATTTGTTTTATTCTGGGGAAAACTGTTTCGTCTATGCATGAAGTAATTGGGATAAAATCATCGGATTAAAGTGTATGTATTGGTTTCTGAACACACGTATGCCAGACCTGTTGGTCGTTGTTTAAGTAAAGGAAAATATGTTTTTGCTTTTGATATTAAAAACTCTGTATTACTGCCAAAATATCCTCATTTTGAGGTCTCGTATTTATTAATATTAAGATATAAATCACAACCTTACTTAACAAGACATTTTCTACACGATGACTATAATGCAAACATGTTAATGTGTGCAAGATTTTTTTCAGGTTATACGGCTGTGGCTCAAATCTATTTCTGTAAACTTGGTTTTAAAATAACATTTTTTTATCAAATATGTAAATGTTTACATGCTTATAACATGGATGAAATCATAGTGACATCGGAACTGCGATTTCTGCATTAAAGTGTCTAAATCATACCATCCTATTAATTTACCTTATAGTTTAAAATTTGAATAATTGTGAAAAGATCGGGAAATTTGACTATTCTTGCAATTTTAGGGGCCAGATCCAACAAACAATGTCACAAAATCCTTTACTAGAAAAAATACTCGTAAGTCATGTTCAGTATAACCACTATCAAGTTTAGCCGTAAGATGTTTTTTTTTTTGTAAAATGAACCACTGGCTCTCCTTTAAACTTGAAAGACCACAGATCATCACGTCTTTGCAATCATGCTCATGGGGCTGAAGGGTGTTTTGCTTGCAGTTTGTGAGTCTGCAGTTCAGAAACAAGACACTTAACTACAATTTCTTGACATTTTTTTATTAATGGTACTGTCTGTTTCATGCTTCCTTGTAAAAAGGTGGAAATATAGACCTAAGACATAAAAAAGATACTTACAAAAAATAAACCTATTTTGTGGTGTATCTGTGAAAGTTACGATTTGTTATCAAATGGCCTATTCCTATTTTAAGCTTAAACTAATATTACAAATGTTTGTCGACAATATGGTTCAATACAAGTTTTTTATTCATATCTACAATTTTTATATTTTCAGTTCCTCAAATAATGGCCTGTATGTATACACAGGACAGGAAAGGAACAGACCAAGAAATGTACCAAATCAACAAGGTGAATATTAGATTTGTGTTGTTTTAATTGTTTGTTTGTTTATTTCAAATATTGAAATTTTGTTTACATGTAATTTGTTTAAGGACTGATCCAGAATTAGATTCGGGTGATGCGTGTCACCAAAGGATAGAATCTGTATGCTGGTTGGTATTAATGCATCCGAAGATAGAGAACTTTTGACTTATTTTGTGATGTATATGTGACACTTAATTTACTATAGACTGGGCTGTTCATCATACTGAAGAAAGTTTATTTTTCTAACGTGTCGCCTTATGAATTTGTTTATAACTTCGTCTTAACTATCGTGTACGTACATCAACGCTCAGCAATTAGTGTTTTGTTCCATTGTTGCTAACAAAAAATGTTTCCAAACTCAACCTACACTATGTTTAAGCTTACTTGCATCCAGGGTACTTATCTTATAAACAATTTTTAGTTGTGCGTATAATTTATATGTATATACATGTACATATAAAAAAATAAGAAGATGTGGTATGATTGCCAATGAGACAACTCTCCACTATGCAGAGACCAAATGGTATAGAAGTTTACTATAGTTCATCGTATGGCCTGTACGGCTATAAAAGGCCCCGAAATGAAAAATGTATAACAATTCAAAAGGGAAAACTAACGGCCTGATTTATGTTCACATCAATGATGACCAAAAACAAAAAACAAATGATATACAGCAACAAACAACAACCACTGAATTACAGACTCCTGGAGTTGGTTTCACAAAAACACATATGACTAAGATTGATCGTAAATCAAAAACAATTCAGTATACTTACAATCAATCTTAGTCGTAAGTTTTTTTTGGTGCTCATAAGAATACCTACAACCTGTCGATAAACTTTGTTGCCGAAAGGTATACATGTAAATGTTACCAAGGAGAAAACTAACAGCTTCAATCATCTCATCACACCTAATGTAAGTATATCAAGCATATTTACCTTTCTCATATGAGAAAAAGGCTTTAAATGAGTTGCAGCAAGTATGTTTTATTTTGCAATCAGATTTAGCAAACGACCATTTAATTAAATAGGAAAACGTTTGTTTGATACGATTGTGTGGAAGTGTAGTGTAAAGAGTTGAAAAGTCAAAATTGTCAACAGAATCAAAAGGACCAACAAAAGCACGTAATTTATCTGAAACATCCAAAGAATTTTTTACACTCCAAAAGTAGTTAATGCCACTATTTCCATATGTTTTATTGCAAAAGTTAATGATAAGTTCTTTGGTAGTTGTTAAAGAACTAGTTAAAAGCACTGGAATATTAGTTGTAGAACACATACTAGAAGCCGAGATGAAACAATATTTTACTGGTTTTTTGTGTAGTTTATGTAACCAATACACAGAAGGGACTTCCAAATGTTCAGAAGAGGCCTTAAGCTGTGATGAGGTTATGATATGATTGTTTACTATATGACTCTCTGTGGAGCGCACGGACTTGAATTAAGAAGAATTTAAAATTTCATTCTGAAGAACTTCCGTGTAGTATTTACGGCATACCACCACCACCATCTAGTTTGTTACATTGTTACAAAAGATATAAATCGACTCTTTGATCAGCATGTATGGTCCCACAGTTTGTGCTAGAATAAAGGGGACTTTTAATCCAGAAAAACGTTTATTGATGTATGCAACTGCTAGGGGGCCCATGAAATAAAAAGGTAGGAGCAATTTCCCATGAATTTATTTCACACTGGGCCGTTTTCTAAAAGTCCTTCAATCTTGACTAACATTCACAGTATCATAGATTCATATGTGTACTTTAGGCTTTTTTGACGGGTTTCAGAACATGTTATTAACTAATAAATGACTAAATATGATAAAAAATTGCCTTTTTGATCGCTATTGAAACTGAAGAAGGATATAAGTGTTCGAATTCCAGTATGTTTAACAACTTCTGATTTTTACCCTGTGAGAGGAACATATATATGGAAAATTGGCCCTATCTCTTTTGACTGCTTCGACAAACAATACTACGATATATATTTGTCTGTACCTGAAGTTCTTGGTGTAGATCTTGGATTAAACCATGACCTTATTGGTCCCCATCGATAAGCTTACATCATTTTTCACTTTGTTTTCGTTAAAATTTTAAGAAATTTTATAGAATATTGCTTGCTAAATGAGATAAAACAGTTGATTGCCATTTCATTATCACATCTAGATTCATCAAGATCAAAGTGTTTCCTCAAAAATATATACTAATGACAAACAAGTTATAACTTTTATGTATCGTTTACTAATCTGTTAATTTGTGTAAAAACATCCGAATTTATTGTTTTTCCCAAGGGATTAAATTTATACTCTAACATTGATATGTTATTCGTTATTTATCATTAGCACACCTTTTCTTGCCGAAGGTAGAGAGTGACACTTGCTTCGGTACTAAAATAAGTTTTGTTCGTATGTATTAGATGTAAGCTTCTCATATCTGAGGGGCATTTGCCCTGAAGATATGAGACGATTACATCTGATTTACATAGAAGTAATAAATAAATATTTTATCTTTGCTCTGGTTCTAAAAACGCAATTAGTTTTGATAAAATAGAAACAGTGTCATTATCTCAAATTGTCCAGTTGCAGTAACACTTTCAGTAGATGTTTTGTAGTTATGGATTTGGAATGAAATCTTAATTGCGTCTATTTTTCTGTCATCAAATTGATGCAAATATCACTGCTTTTGTATGGAAATATGAATCGCTGTATTATCTTGTCTTTTTCTGGTTTAATTGCCAAAATTTGAACTTTTTGCTGATAAACGATAACACTTCTGTTTAAATATATTTATAAGCGAGACATCATGTTTTAACAGTCATACAGTGAGGAATATGTGTAACAATACCTCGATAGTTACTTTTTGAATCATTGTATGACTCAGGCTACTAAAAAAATATGGAAGTTCATAACACCGAATCTCTCATCTCCGTGCAGTCCCTATGGTAACCCAGAATAGATAATTGCTTCATTTCCAGTGACAGTCCAAATTTTTCGCCCTTCTTCGTCCGTCGGTGTACCTCGGAGAACCTACCTATTGTAATAATTGTTATTTTTTTCTCGTCCTGATTATGCATGAAATAATTGCCACTGGACTGGACGATTGGGTTATTAAAAATTGACAAATAAAAAATCCATAAATATTTCTTGGAATCGTAAAAGTTCAAATAATCGATAACATCTCTCAATCGTCTATCATAAACAAAACAGTCAGATTTCTGGTTAGCACTTTGAATGTTTAATGCACCTGTGGTTTCAAAATATAAACATGCGAACTTTTAGAATTCTTTTGTTGAGAGTAATGATAATAGATAATAATTGGGTGCTTTCAGTGTAAACAACAATTGCAGATAACATTTATATAAAGGAAATGTCTTGTATTTTAAATAATGGTGATTACATTACATTAATTTCATAAGATTCCGTCATTTTGATTGATAGTCAACAATCGAGAAGCATTCCAACACTTATATCTTATTTCCCAATAAAATGCAACAGTTATGAATGCATGTGCCATGACATTGTTGCAACTATACATAGGAAAAAAAAAACCCAAAAGTATGATTCAACTCCTAATTTCATTGTAATAGCATAAAAATGTGCATTTTTGATAGTTGTCTCATTGGCAATCTTACCACATCTCCTTATTTTTATATTTTATGTAGTTATATTAATAAAATGCTTCTTTTTGTAATATTATAGGGTTGTAAAAGCGTTGATAGAGTGTCGTTTTAGTATGCACACTTTGGATACAAAAAATTTACACACGATCAATGCTGTTAAGGATGTACTTAGGTGAAATTATAAAAATCTAGAACTTAAAATTGATATTATAAGTCAGAAGAGCATTAGTTAAAGAACAAAATAAACTAAAAATATTGATAGGTTATGGAGCTTCTTTTTTGGATATTTAATTTATAAAAATGGCGGGAAAAGGCTGACACTGACTTTTACCTTATATTTGCATTGGTATTATTTGGGTCTCAAATAGAAAGAAAAGAAATCTAGAAACTGCTTAAATTTTGGTAAATGACCTTTTATGAGCTATTGAAGTCTTATTTGAAAAGAAAAATGGGTGTTATAGGGCAAAATATTTTACCCTGTGTCATAGGGGAAAAAAAAAACAATGAAAAAATCAAGGAGTCCGAACATCTGACAAACATTCCTAACCCTGACCTAAGGACATCCCTAAATTATTTGAATTTGCTGGTTATGACATTTTTACTGATTGTGGATTAGCATGGCGGGTAATGCGTTCATAGCTGGAGATGCTTCTTTTGGAGTTCATGCGATTCCCCCCAGTTTTTATTTGTTTACCTTGATTTTTATCTTTTTAATTGATTTAAGAGATTTTAACATCATAATTTACTGTTGCCTCTGATTTACACCCATTAAAACAAGCAACAAATTTTAATAATAACTTCACTAAAACGTTTTGATCTGAAATTTATCAAAATCTAAACTGCCGTTTTCGTTACAATCGGACAGTTACTAAATGTATATTTGATACAATCAAGGATACACAACAATTCAAGCCACATATAATAGTACACTTTTTTGCAATTTCTTTATGAACTTTTTTACAATATTTGTTCTCTCACTTTGGTTTCTCGAGTCACGAATCGTAAAGAAGGAACTGTCAGTAACCAAATATATATTATTATATATATTATATGTTTAGGTGAGAGATTTTCTAGTAAGTTAAAGGACAGTTAAATCGACAATATAGAAAAGATAATTTTGATATTTAGTTCATTCCGGTTTATTAATTACTATAACTGTAGGATTACAAATCTCTATGTTAGAAACGTTTCAGAACTTAGTTAATTTTAATATTTAAATCAAAGTGCTTTCCGGTTTATAAATTAAAATGATTGTAGGATTACAAATCTTTATATGAGAAACGCTTCAAAACTGTACAGTTGTTGATATTCAATGTGTAATAACGGAAATTGTTTCCATTTCAACTTGTGCACTACGTGTCGATCTTTTCCTGTAGTAGAGATAACGAGATGTTTCCTAACAACATTACATGCATCACATAAATCAAATAAAATTAGTTCAGTGACCTGCCACTAACATCTGAACGATTTTTCATTTTTCCTTTGCCCCCGGAGAGAAAAAGTTTCTTTCAAGTTTACTTTTTAATCAAAATGAATTCCTGTGTACACTTTATAAGCATTTTTAGAAAATCAAAAGCACCTATATAGCGTCCCGTCAATAAAAGTGCTATTGTAACTAGCCAGTGAAACTATGAAAACCGCTAGACTAGATTGCTGTTAAAATGATTGTATTCGCTGATCAATATTCAATTAACTAAATTAAAATTAAGAATTAGGCGTGCTGATATCAAATTAATGCTGCACAAAAATAATCTAAAACTAACAATGCTATGCTAAAAATAAGTAAATTTAACAGTACTATAGAATAGCCATGGTATTCTTACGATAATGCATTTCTAGAAATAAATATTTTCACGTAAACATAAAACCTATGTATCCGGTGTAACTTATTGGGAAAGACTAAGTGATTACAGAAACATTGTTTGATGCATGCTAACTAGCGCAGTATATTCTTTTTTTCTCATGACAGCAAAATTGTCAACGGTTGTTAAACGTTTTTTAAAAAATGAAATTATTCAATGTTCAGATTGCAATGTCGTACTTGCGCGCGCAACTGAAACTCCTAAGATACATATTGCAAAATATTCGCCGATCGCAATATATTTTTTTACCAGTAGGTAAAGACAAAAAAAAATGTTTCGGGTCTAAAAAGGGTTTCTCTTTTTGCAATGTTGCATTTTAGACAGACCGAATACTGGAATATCAAAGTAACAGTGTTTGTATAGCTGTACATCGTTTTGTCGGTACATGTAGCTACATGTAGAAGTTTTCTGTGGGGAACTCAAATGTCATTCCTTACAGCAAGGTCAAGACAGCCTATGGTGTCGACTTCGATTTCTATCGTCAATTGCTACACATCTTTTGTATAAAATACCACAACTGCCTATTACATTGAATTGTGAAGTCCTCCTGCAAATTATTATGCAATGCCTGGCAACATACAATTGATTATTACCAATACAAATGATGAAGATAACCGCAAAGTATCGTCAATATATTTGTAGGAATCTTTGACAGGAAAAACTAAGGCTTCAAATAGGCTATTAATTTAAACTACAACTTAGAGGGGCCTGATGGGTTATTTTCGTTCTTCGTGATCGGCGCATTTTCGCTATCGTGATCCGTTTTTCTACAGATTTTTTTTTTATATTTTCGTGATCCGTGATTGACAAAAAATTAACTCGTGAATCGTGATGAGACCCCCCCCCCCATCAAGCCCCTCAACTTAGTCTAAAATGAAATATGATGAAGTACATTTCAGTATTCCGCCATGAAAAATATCTTATTAAAAGTCCATATCTGGTAAAGAATAAAGACAATACACCTCAAACACCAAGCCGCATTCGTATTGGGTGCCTTTAACAAAATCCTGTAAATATACAGATACCTTACCTCATGATGATTTAAGTTTAATACTTCAGTCAACACTAGTTTCCTTTATAAAGAGAAACAATCCATTCTGTGGATTTTACTGTTACAGATATTTTAAAGTTAATTTGAATTAAATACTATTATTGTTCTTAATCACTTACTTTCTCTACCGAATGATCACTTTGTTGGAATCGTGGTAACGTGGAGAGGTCGTGGATTGTTTCTCAGCCAGGTCAAGTCAGATACTTGAACAATAGCATTTGCTGCTTCTCCGTTAAGCACGTACCATTTATGTGTATTGGTTAACAAATTAATATCAGATCAAACCCAATAGTCTAGGAGCAAAGACTGGATGGCCCGGAGTCAGAATAATGTTTCCATGTAGTGTAGGATGACCGTGTGCACTATTAGCAGTTACAAATACGGCTTAGTGTTCCGGTCAAGTACAAAGTAGTGTTCATATCCATATCATATTGTCACATGTTATAGTCCTGAATATACATTTAGTTTGCCAATGGACGTTAAACAATCAGCCATCATCATCTACTACATACGATTTTAATTAGACTCATTAAGTAAAGCTTCGATAAAACTGTTTTTTTTAGTCCATTTTAGCGATTCAGACCATACTAAGTTTGGGGCCGAAAGTAGATGTGTTAGTTATTTTGCAATTAAGTTCTAATGTACTTTTTAAGAATACATGCACCTGTTAAATCGAACATTTGTCAGAAAATAATTTCTTTCAGTGATTTGAAGTTCTCTAGGAAATACAGCATTTGTTTTGATGTAACCAGGTTTTTACAAATCTGAAATAGGAAATAAGAATGCCAAAAAATGAAAATGAGCTAGAACGAATTGTTATACCAATTATTCTAATAGATAAAATATGAGAATGATATTTTGTATACATAAACACGCTACAAAGATAATATCTTATGCTTGCCTGAGAAATAGTGTGACATTGTTAATTCATGGTAATTACTTAATAACATAAAAGAAAGTCATCGCCTTCTGCAAAATTGTGTCTATGATGTCAGGTAGCGGTGCCAGCTCATTTGTAATGCTATAAATTCTTTTGTCTTGTAACCTTTGATTTTATTACCAGTTACACGATGTGGGAGTAAAGCTATACTATGAATTCTACGTATAAATAGGACATAAAAGTCTGTTGAATCAACATAATGCATCTCTATACCAAAGCAGACGACTATAGGCGCTTTTGTCACGCAATTCGTTTTTTTTCTTATGTACATTTAATTATTTGAATTGAAATTGGATCGCGAGGAACGAATTTAAAAAAAGAAAAAAATAATCTAGGTACAGAAAAATAATAAAAATGTCTTAGCTTTAGCATTCTTAGAAATGGACAGATTGTGTTTTTAAAAAGAAAGGGAAAAAAAGGTATACAAGATGAAAAGAAAAAATATCCTGCATTTGATGTAATTGTCAAGACAAGTGATAAAAAATATTATGAATCTATTTCTTCCCTACCAGGCTTTTTATCAAAAATCTCTTTCCTAAAGATTAAAGGATCAGCTTCATCATGTGAATTTTCAAATCCTACCAACATGCAACCAAATACATTAAAAAGTGCTCAAAAATGGCTTCAATGCTGCAATTCCGACCGATTTGATTTCTCCAATTTTACACGATTTACGTTATTACTTTCATTTGATTGCAGTGGTGGTATTTCAAGTATGCATACAAAACAGATACAAATTGAACAAGAAATACAGAAAGCTATTGAATTCCTTACAGACAGATTCCACCGACTGTGTGACAAAGGGAAACATTGCACAGACAAAGGTAATTATAAATAAGAAGATGTGGTAAGAGTGCCAATGAGACAACACTGTATATGGTGTATAATACGGCCAAGAACACGATGCATGTACAATTTCGCTACATTGTGATTCATGTTTCAAGATTTGGAATTAGGTTCATTAATTGTGACACTTTTGCTGTGTTTTATTATGTCGCGATAAAAGTTGATGAGTTATCTATAGCTTTGGTAATCTCTTACTGCCAGGCAATAAATATTTACCAATGCGCTATTATATAATTCCGCATTCTTCTATTCTGCCTTATCATTGGATTTTAACACTGTAACATTACGAGCGTCAATATTAGAGCCGGACGTTACTTCTTACCTTAGGTAAAAACTGAGTTCCCCCCGGTTTAAGTTTAGGTTCGTCTTGTTGAATCTTTTCAAGTTTTCAATGTGTTGTATTGCAGACTGTTCCATGCATCTTTTTCTATCGGGCCATGCAAGTTTTTTCACCACCGGCGTCTGTCGTTGTCTGTTAGATTTTACAAAAATCTTCTCTCTGACTGTACTGGGCAATTAAACTGGAACCAAAGTTGCCCCTAATCATTCTGGAGGTTTCTTGTTTAAAAACAAATCAGTCTGATAATCTCTTTTGCCAACCAACATAGATGTCAAGGCTTATGCTAAAAATTGAACATTGGGTAACACGCAAGTAATGTTCACTATCTTTAAAACCGTTAAAGATAGAAAAAATCTGACTTTGGCAGAATTATTCAAGACACGCATGTACTTATCGTCCATTTTTACCAAACCAGTAGGGCAACTCATTATAGGAGTTACCAGTAATGCATTTAAACGAAGCTTTTTGTAAATTTTTGTTTGCAATTTTTGCTGTTATCTTAAAAACTACAATAGATAAAGTTAGATAAGTAACTATTAAATTAAGCTTTATCATCAGGACAACATCTACAAATAAGTCAACATGGACAAAACCGTCAGTCGACTTCTTATAGGAGGTATTGCCATTGAAAGACAATGTTTAATTATTGTTTGCTGTTTTGCTAGAAAGAATTAAAATGATTCTTTTTGAATTATATCAATTTTTCTTTAAAAAAAAAGACGTAAAGTGATTGGTCCAGACTCATTGGAACCTCTAGTTTCTTTTTTTTATTACTCTGTTGTTTGTTCTTTGATTTATAGCTTGTATTGCCTCCATGGTATCTAACTTTTTTTCGTTTTGTTTTTTATTCACTTTTTTTGCCGACGAATAAAACAATAAGGATACCACATGCCTATTACTAATAAGGAGCTATCTACTTAATAATTTTAATAAGATTTGACGTGTGGGTATAGTATAGTAAGAAAGTAATTGACATAAGAAAGTAACATAAGCAACTATGATGCATATTTGATATAAGAGGGTCTTGATTTGGTTTACAGAATAGAGAATAATGGGCCAAATTACAGAAAAATAGACCCAAAAATTAAAGAATAGTGAAAAATACGGCAAAACAATAAAGAGTAGCGAATAATGGGGTGCTAAAATAAAAAGAATAGAAAATAATGACAAAAAATATAAAAAATAGAGAAAAATGACATAAATAATACAGAAATGAAAGACCCTTCATCCCAACCCTCATATATCACAATAGGCATTTGTAATAACATATGGGGAATGTCCTTTGCTGTCGAGCTTCAAACGTCCCTTCTAAGCTATCATTAACGTTATATCTACGTTAAATCGGCTCTTTCCAACTACCATTAAGATCAAATTTAAAGATTATTTTGTTTTGAACGTTATTTTGAGAAAACAGAAATAAATAATCGTTAATGATACATTAAACAAGTATAAATTAATTCAAAAGTAAAAAAAAATGGCTTTTCCATGAACCAGGACTATTAATGACTAACAACTATCTTGTAGTCCATAAATATGGTAATTGGCTGCTATAACCTTATATCATACAGTACTTAATTAACACTTTGTGTTCCAATATTATGTATCTGTGTGCATTTTTATATTTACTTTATGTCTTGTTTTGTAACAATTAGCTGGCTGCAGAGGCAGAGAACAAAGATAATGAAGCAGAGCAGAAACGACAACACGGGAAAAGGGTTAGATATGGCGAGGTGTTTCAGGTAGATATCAACAAAACCGTCATGGTTAGAAGTTTAAAGTTTATTTGATTTAAAACATATTATTGAAGAAAACCTTCTATGTATAAATATATGCAATTAATGAGTTCGAATCTGAAAGATCTATGTAGATTGGGTAAATTCATATTTACATTAAACCCTTTAAGTTAAGCATTATTAAAATAAATTGTATATTTTTTCTACAGCAGAGAATTTGTATGATAAAAAAGAACACAATGAATATTTTGCAGTTTCAAAAATAAAAAACTTTTGTTATAAATCCTTGAAATTACTAATTATTTTTTCCAACATTTCTATTGTAGCTTCGCCATATGTTTACAAATAAATTTGTTCATATGAGCACTACACAGACTAGCCAACAAGATAAAAACAACATGAAGGTAATTTGTAAGAAAAGTATACAGATAAAAAAAACATCTGAAAACCTTTTTAATTTGGACAACCATAAGAAATCTATAAAAAAAATCTTTGAAAGTTATGATAAGAACTGTAACAGTTGCTGTTCCCTTGATACATTAGTTGTTTCCAAGCATTTAATGAGAGTGTTCTATCTTTTTGTTTTATTTCCAGATATATGCTTCAAGAGAATACTTATTGTATATACCATTGGTTATATGTTTTTTTCTGACAAACATCGTTCATAGCTTCTTCAATCCTCTGTCAAATCCCCATTCCAGTCTTCTCCTCTTTAAATATTTGTACTGCTTAGGTGTACAAAATTCTTTTTAATATACATGCTATATGAGTAATTTAATAGTAAAAGGAAGTTACAGTTCACCTTTGTCAGCATAGAAACCGGTAGATGGAAGAAAACATCTATGCTACATTATGAACACAACTATAAATGTGTTATTAACTACCTTATCCAGTCAACAGCAATACGTGTTATTAACTACCTTATCCAGTGAACAGCAATACGTGTTATTAACTACCTTATCCAGTGAACAGCAATACGTGTTATTAACTACCTTATCCAGTGAACAGCAATACGTGTTATTAACTACCTTATCCAGTGAACAGCAATACGTGTTATTAACTACCTTATCCAGTGAACAGCAATACGTGTTATTAACTACCTTTTCCAGTGAACAGCAATACGGATGATTTAGGAGTAATATCGTCATTGCTTTTCCCCTATTAGTCTTTTGACATTTTTAAAAACATTGTGCAGAATTTATCTTCGTTTCAAATAAAGAAACACTTGGCATGAGTAAAGTTTTATCCTGTCCAGTACTACAGACAAAATTTCACATAACATTTCATTGCATATAAGATAATAATCATCACTGGAAGTTAACATCAATTTTCCACCCCCTTTTCCCTGTTTACAAGCTTTTATTGGTAACCATGTAACCTCAAGTTTCCAAAATATTTTATAGAAACATCAAATTAAACAAATGGTACTTTGAAACACCCAAGATATATGTTTATGACTCAGAATTTTTTTTACTGCAATGGAATGTAGGATTAATTTCCTACAACAGTCAAATTCAAGGGAATATTTTATTCGACCCTTTTTCGTTTACACCTTTATCATTGCTGATGCTTATTTGAGGAATAATTCAGATGCAGATATCAATGATGCGGACCTTTTTGACTTTAGTACTTTTTAAACGAACTTCTTTTTATTTAAGGATAAGAGATGTGATAAGATTGCCAATGAGGCAACTATCATTCAAAGACCCAACGCACAAGGATGTAAACAATCTGAACGACTACAGGCCATCGCATGGCCTTCAACAATGAGTAAAACCCATATAGCAAGTCATAAAAGTATGGAGGAAACATTGTGAAAAAATCATGCAAGGCAACCAAGGCCTGTTTTATACATAATATAAACAAAAAAACAATAATCATTATGAAATTATGAAAGACAGCAATTGTTTCGTTAGAAGTATGACAATCAATCTATCAATTTCCTTATGTTGATAATTCGTTGTGTAATTGACCTTCAAGTACATATCATTATATATTATTCCAGTTGATTATTACAATACAAAATGATAATAATAATAATAAAAATAATAATCGTAATTAAAAAAAAGTAATCTCACTAACAAACACCTATACAATTTCAGGTATCATTGCATGACTTTAACGCCAAAAATGCCCAGTTCAGAATACTACCGAGATATAAAGTGAAATCAGAGGGAGAAATTGTAAGTACATTTTGTCGTCTCTGAAAAAGGTGTTTTAGTTTCATAGACAAATATATTTATGTACAAGTTTATAGAAGCATTATGTGGCAAAATTTTTGTTTAATTTTTAAAAGTAAAAAACTGAACGGTCAGATACTTAGAATTATTAATTTTACTTTTTATCATGGTAAACAGATGATCTAAGTATAATTTTGCAAGCCCAATTTTGTAAATATTACACGTAAACCGGTTTTCACGTTGTGAAAAAAGCATGTCGCTATTTTAAATATTAGCATGGTAAACAAATGAATTTAGTAGAACTATGCAAGCCCAATGTTCTGAATATTACATGCATGTAAAACTGTTTCCACGTTGTGAAAAGAAAGTCGTTATTTTGAATTTTATCATGATAAACAGAAAATAAATTTAATAAACTTGTACAACCTCAATTTTGCGAATACACATGTTAACTTGTTTTCACGTTGTGTAAAAGCAAGGGGTCATTTTGAATCTTATGATCGGTCACTAGATTATTTTACTAGAAGTATGCAAGTTCAATTTCCGAATATTACATGTTTAACCGTTTTCACGTTGTGCAAAAGCAAGTCGTTATTTTGAATTTGATCATCTATAAACAGATAATTCAGTAGAATTATGCAAGCTCAATTTTCCGAATACTACATGTAAACCTGTTATCACGTTGTGTAATAGCAAGTCGCTTTTTTTAAATTTTATAATGGTAAACAGATAATTCTAATAGAATTATACAAGCTGAAGATTCCCAGTACTACACGTGCTCTCGTGTTGTGTTGAAGCTAGCTCTTATTTCGACGCTTATTTAATCATAGATAAATTCATCAACGTCAGATGAATTTAAAAAAAAAGATGCATGTATATGATTCTTGTTTATTATCCGAAGGTAAATATATTTTCCTGGTGGTCTTTATTATAAATCTTTCGAGATGCAAATTGTCGAAAATTAAACAATTTCTATAATACTCAACTTTTGAAGAGTCTAATATTTCCTTTGTGATGTGGAACGAATCAATGTAAGCGAATACAAACAATTGTTTCTCAGCGTGAAATTTGGCTGTAAAATTATTTTGTCATATGGTTTTTAGCTTTACCTTTAAATTCAAATTACATTGAGGGCTATTGCATAATGTTTCCAGAGAAACATGAAGGCGTTTGTATTTCAACAAAAAATATAACAACTTTTGATTATTTAGCCATGTTTTGTAAACCGTCTAAAATTGTTTAAGATAATCTTAAATGTCAAGATATACATTTGCGTATATATTTGATTAAATTTGCGTAAGGATATAATTTCTATTATTATTCTAAATGAGATAGAAATGATGAAAAATGCACGCGTGCAAAGTCAAACAGGAATGAAAACAAACTTTTGTATTTCTATCCATTATCATTAGCTTCACGGCATGCTAAAATAATCAAGATGTCTGTTTGCTTAAGAAAGTAATATTTCTTATGGATCTTTAAAAAGTAATGAAATGGGATTAAATGACAGTAGACATTTGTTCTTACATTTATTATATCGTTCATTGATTATCAAACCCACTTGATTTAACATTGAATATCTTGAAGCTCAAAAAGTATTAGGTGCAAACCACTTTGACGGTGTTTGGTAAATTAATAAGTCTTTTCAATAACCTTATTCATTAATTGCCATGGGTTAAAATTGATTATTCAAAATGCAAATTTGATGTCATTATTTCGGAAATGTTAAGGATTTGCTGATAAAATCAAAGAACGCACTATTGATGTCTTTCACGACACTCGGCTATTGGTGTTTCTTATAAAATTTGATCGTATTAAATAATTTTAGCGAAAATGATTTTCAAGATTACAATTAGTATACGCTATCTTAATAATGAACACAAGTTTCATTATAATCCTCTTACACGAAAATCATATTTCTGACCTTTGAAATTTACATTGTGCATTATATCAGATTAATATATTTTTTCTTTTGTCAAAGATATTATTTTTAGAAATGTGAAAATATTGTGTGTTCAGTCTAATATGCATGCATTTGTTTAAACATACTATTGTTTCTATCCTTTTAAGGTCCAGTTGTTTGATCAAATAGTATTTGAGAGTATGAAGTCACCAGGACATTATTTCCACACAAGTGAATCCTACCAGATTGATCACTTTACGTTTGGGTATGTTACCTTAGAAAAAGTCAGAATGGTCCATTCCTACTACACAATAATCTTTCCCTTTAACCAGTGGTGGATTCAGGGGATGGAGAGCATAGAGGGCGTACGCCCTCTATTAATTGAACATATAGCAAGTTTTGGCATTAAATCGTTAAAAAAATCTCCCTTCTTACGCTCGGTGCTATTTATACCATTATGGACACTTCGCCCCAACCTTTTCCTTTGAACTCTGGATCCGCCTGTGATAACTATCGAGTAGGAAGTTATTATTGATTTGAGTTAGATATCCGCATCATATACAATATATGTTAGTATTAGAGAACATCTGAAGATGGTGAAATACTATAGTTCGTAATGTCTGGTGCATAATGTATCTTCGTTTTTTGCAAAATATAATTTATTCTTATTGCATGGTATTTCCGAAGTATACCGACTTTAATCTGGACTGTAATGACGCTATTAATGTACCTTATGGTCTTATTCTAGCAATCACAATCATTGTCCTTTATGTTTAAAAATGAAGCTGTGATAAACATAACAAAAGTTCATTTTGTTATTTCTTCTTTGTGGTCTTTGATTTTCAACATTAATTTGTATACAATGAATGTTGCCTGCCAAAGAAAATAAATATGTTCAGAATATAGGATAAATCTGATTCATTTTAATGCACATTTCATAACACAATATTTTGCAATACTAATTCATGACAATACGTATACATTTTGTTCTTTTATATGTTATTGTTTTTTACTATTGAGAAAACATATAATTGGACTTTAAGTTTTAATAAATATTTTTTTTAGTTCAGAACTAAATCTTGGCGTAGAGCGATCGAGTTACACCCTGATCGGTAGTTACAGAGAAATTCCCGAACAAGAACGATTTGTACGGGTAAGGACATATTATCTTAATGGTACCTAATTTTTTTTTCTAATTTTTCTTATAAACGCAAATATGAAAAAAAGTATAATAAGAGAAACTAGAAGTAGACTGACGAACCTTGTTTTAACTTATTAATACTCTATTTAACTGTTTATATCTCATAATTTATATATTTCTAATCTTTGGTTTTTAGGGAGGATCAGTCCTTAGACTTTTCCACAAGGAACTCGAAGCTTATCTTGTAGCAGAGGGACTGTTTGATGATTGTGTTACAGAAGATGGTTAGTTCATATAAGCCTTAACTTATCATTATTTATTAGCTATCTAGCACAATGTATGAGAGATGCATTTATTGGCAGTTATTTGGATGATATAACTAAATAATACTAGTGTTAGAAGAGAGGCGAAAGATACCAAAGGGATATTCAAACTGATAACGATATATGTCAAAAAACTAAACAAACAAAAAACGACTAAAAGGACAAACAACAGTATACGAAACACAACATAGAAAACTAGACTGAGCATCACCTACCAAAACAGGGGAAGAGCTCTGGTGCTCCGGAAGGGTAGGCAGATCGAAATGATCATTTGTTCTAATCGATGTATCTCGCATACCTTTGAACAGCCAATGATGTGCGCTTAACTGTAACTGTAAATTTGAATGACGAATCTTGAAATAGCTAAATGTTTTTTAAACAACCTCATTTGTTTAGAACAATAATTCCTTTAATTGTTCAGTTGTGTAGTTAAAAAGTGTTTTTTTGTATAATTTATAGTGCACTTTAGGATCCGAGTAATTGACCAACACCGTCCAAAGTCTTTGTCGCCATCATCCTCTGGTATCACATACTGGCAAATAGAAGCAGAACATAGTATTCTGGATGGTGAGTAGACAACGTCCATTTTTTCAGATTGTTGTACTTTCACTTTGGTTATTATTTTGCAGGTTAGCTATATTAAAAAATAAAACGCGCCAAAACACGTGGAAATGAAGAAAAAAACTGAAACCTCCGTTTCCCTCAGTAATTAATCATTCTTTGAACACCTTTCTAACTTGCTGGCTTCACTTCTGTGTTGTGACTTTTCCATCATTTTACATATTACATCTATAAGTAACGTGTTTGGTGTTTCGATATATGTTACATGTAGACAAAATATAAAAAACAATAGGAGCCTGGTTTATGAATCAGTATTGTAAATGAGTCATCTAATTGTAAAACAGATGATAAATGTTGGCACATTGAAGTCTTTTTATAAGACTGCTGATATTTTTCTCTACCGTTCATTCATTGTTTATTTACATGACTTCCAAACATAAATCGGTCAATGAATACTAGATCAGTAATTATAGAAAAGGTAAAATACATCACACAATGCACAATTCATGTATTGCAGTATTACATAGTAAACCTCCAGCCCATCCATTACAAGAACATGCTGTGCAAAAAAAATGAATGAATGAGTTAGAACTTTTGTACATCTTAGTTACTATAAAAGCCTCGATTCAATTGAGAAGGGTGTACTTTATTTTTGACAATTGCCTGTGAAATATGTGTAAAATGAAAATTAAAATCTCAGAATGGATAAAATTAAAACAAAAGTCATAACAAAGAAAACAAATCGTTGACGTAGATGAAAAGACACAAATGATATTTACAATTTAGTAAACTTTGTATCAATATATTCTAGTCTTTAAAATAAAATTAAGGCTTTATACATCAAGTGTCTTACCAAGATCTACTTAATTATGAAAGGGTTACCATGAATGAAAAGTACACACAACGTTTCATGTATCTGTTAGTATTGATCATTACTTTCTTCTAAGCGATCACAAATAAAAACATGTGCATGGTTCTACGTCAAACCTCTTCATCTGTTGTTTCCAAAGAGTTTATATTGAATGAACAAATCAATTTTACGTATGGCAGATCACAAGCGGTTCTGTTAATTTAACGTGTCAAACATAAGTATGTCTGTAACTTAATGCTGATTTTTACGATTTATTATGATGTAAGTATGCAGGAATGGTGTCCATCACAATTCCTAATTCTTTAGAGATTTTTGAATTAATATAAAAGAAAGATGATAAAATTGAAATGTAACAGCTCTGTCTAATTCAGAATCTACTGATAGGACTTTTAATTGATAAATGGATACTTGTCTACTTTAGGACTTTTAATTGATAATTGGATACTTGTTGTCTACTTTGAAGCATATGATTTAATTCAGACAGACTATTAACATGATTAAGGAACACTCAATTGAACACTGGAGTGCCAATTCACATATATAAGTACTTGTTGGTCACACAACGTGAAATAAGCATATTAATTTCGGGTCAAGCTAAAGCTCGCCTCCGGGTGCGGAATTTTCTCGCTGCGTTGAAGACCAATTGGTGGCATTGAGCTGTTTTCTGCTCTTAGTCGGGTTGTTGTCTTTTTGAAACATTCCCCGTTTCCATTCTTAGTTCTATTATAGAGAAAACTTGGGTTATACCCGACTGCGGATAAATCTTCAATTCAACGCACTTTTGGAATATCAATTACCACTAAGGCCATGTATTGTATGAAAAATTATTTTCATTCACGTATGATGAGCAACTAGTACTGAACTGGTAAGTGAGACAACCAAAAAGGTTTATCTTCTTCAATACAGATCTATGCGAAAGAAACTACTTTTCTTGTCCATTTGTCAATTTAGCAATGAAATCTTTTGACGTTTCCCAGAAGGTATAAAAGTAAAACTCAAAATTTTGCATTCACTTAAACAAGAACTGTCATAGCATAAAGAAGTACAAAACAAATCTACAAAACAAATGTATCAATCAGAAGACAAGGATGAAAATAACTAAACACCACCTTGCGACCTTGACTCCCTACTTCAGACTTATCCGAAAGTCTTCTATTGAAATTCTTATTTATTATTTAGTCATATCAGTTCCTAAGCAAAAATGCTATTTGACTGAAAATGTCCTGGACTATAGTATTAAGCAAATAGATATCATGACATATATAGAAACAAAATCGATTAAAATCATGAGTAGTAGTTATAGATGTTTTTGGAGATTACCAATGAATAGACACCAGAATGGAAGATTTTGTTTAGAAATCATATAGATTATTTTGATAAAAAGCTGTAATAAAAACTAAAATCTGAGACTTCTTTATTTCATGGAATGATAATCTGCTAGAGCTCCCATTTGTGTTAAAAACCTGAGTACTTCACTAAATCAATGAAATACTTATTAACTGTGATTCCAGCTGAGTAATACACCCGCCGTTTCCTCTATTTTCAGTTTTTCAGCTCACCTGGCCTTAATGGCCAAGTGAGCTTTACTCATCACTTGTCGTCCGTTGTCCGTCGTCCGTCGTCGTTGTTCGTTAACTTTTACAAAAATCTTCTCCTCTGAAACTACTGGGCCAAATTTAATTAAACTTGGCCACAATCATCATTGGGGTATCTAGTTTGAAAAATGTGTTCGACGACCCCGCCTGCCAAATAACATGGCCGCCATGGCTAAAAATAGAACATAGGGGTAAAATGCAGTTTTTGGCTTATACCTCTGAAAATAAAGCATTTAAAGTTAATCGGACAGAGGATAAAATGTTCATCAGGTTTAGATCTATCTGCCCTGAAATTTTCAGACGAACCAGACAACCCGTTGTTGGGTTGCTGCCCTTGAATTAGTAATTTTAAGGAAATTTTGTAGTTTTTGGTTATTATCTTGAATGTTGTTATAGATAGAGATAAACTGTAAGCAGCAATAATGTTCAGCAAAGTAAGATCTACAAATAAGTCAACTTTACCAAATTTGTCAATTGACCCCTTAAGGAGTTATTGTCCTTTATAGTAAATTTTTAACAATTTTTCGTAAATTTTTGTAATCTTTTATAAAAATCTTCTCCTCTGAAACTACATTGACAAATTCAACCAAACTTGGCCACAATCATCATAAGGGTATCTAGTTTAAAAAAATGTCCGATGACCCTGCCTGCCAACCAACATGGCCGACATGGCTAGAAATAGAACATAGGGGTAAAATGCATTTTTTGGCTTATATCTCTTAAACTAAAGCATATAGAGCAAATTTGGTTGGGTGAAAACGTTCATCAGGTTAAGATCTATTTGCCCTGAAATTTTCAGACGAATCAGACAACCCGTTGTTTGGTTTCTGCCCTTGAATTAGTAATTTTAAGGAAATTATGCAGTTTTTGGTTATGAATATTATTATAGATAGAGATAAACTGTAAACAGCAATAATGTTCAGCAAAGTGAGATCTACAAATAAGTCTACATGACCAAAATTGTCAATTGACCCCTTAAGGAGTTATTGCCCTTTAAATTCAATTTTTAACAATTTTTCGTAAATTTTTTTAATCTTTTACAAAATCTTCTCCTCTAAAACTACTGAGACAAATTTAACCAAACTTGGACACAATCATCATAAGGGTATTTAGTTTTAAAAATGTGTCCGATGACCCCGCCTGCCAACCAACATGGCCTACATGGCTAAGAATAGAACATAGGAGTAAAATACAGTTTTTTAGGTTATATATCTAAAACTAAAGCAAAAGCATAATGGGTGCATTATTTCATGCATCAATTGTAAACAAAAATATTAGATGAGCGACACAGGCTCCTTGGAGCTTCTAGTTATGTTTAAATAATGGGGTGCGCTAAGTGCCCATTTCGGCCTATAAAAACGAAGTATTACAAATCTAGGCCATTAAAGCTTAAAATAATATTCAAGTAGGTGCAAAAGCTTAAATTGTAATATCTTTAAAGTGTTGTGAATATGTACAGAGATTTTGCAGTCGAAAGATTGCAAACTTCAAAATTTTCTACCAAAAGGACAAAATTTTAGGAAAAAGGAGAAAAATTCAACACTTGCAAGTACCACGAAATTATTTATATGACATGTGTTGTTGATATAGAAATAAAATCCTGGTAAGTAATTTTGTTGGTCCTTGCATGTATACTCTATACTTGCGGGCCCAAAACTATGTAAAAATGACCAAAATCAATGTATTTCACGAAAACACGCCGAAGTGCAACTATTGTGACGTCATTGGTAAAACTTTACTTACTTATTTTGCATTACATATACTTTAAAAGAGACATACGATTGAAATCATAAATAAATGTTCAACATTTAGTAAAAAAAAGTAGCCATATATGACCCTTATCGCCGCACCCTGCCCTTTCCCGTTTCCTTGCGTACTGAATCATCAACTATGTGAAAGATTAATAGGAATGTGGAATGCGTCAAACGATAACGAGTAAAGGATATCTTAAGACCAATATTGCTTTAAGTTGATATTAATTTCTACTTACCCCAATTTCTAGAGTTTACATTGATGACAGTTAAATCTATGTTAATATACACAGACAAGAAGACAGGAAGAAAAGATCTTAGAATAATGCTAACTTAATTAAAAACCTTCAAAATATTATTCAATATTCTTGTCCTAAATAGTTTGAGCTATTACATTAAGTATATTACATGAAAACGTATATTATTCATTTACCAGAGTTAATACTACTACCAACGTAAACAAGTCAATAGGTAGCAACATTTGAACATAGAGGGATTGTTTTTCATTTTTATTGTATTGCTTTTGAAGAGAAGTAGATTGAAACCTTGCCTCTTTTTTAAATGCGCTTCCGCATTCTCTTTTATATGATGATATGAGCAGTCGATAAAGTTGATTTGTGACATATGGTTAAACTAACAATAAATGTACATGCAGTATGTATGTTGCAGGTGATATTCTGAGATGGGAACAACAGGTCAGATTACGACATATGCTTACAAGACAATATCTGTGTATAGACTCCAAGTTAGATGTTTCTCTTGTGCCAGATCCCAGCGACCCTAGAACTGTATTCAGACTACATTCTGTATTAAAGGTAAATAAATAAACAAAAACAAAGATTAAATAATGTAACTAGTCCATGCAACAGTTTATATAACACATGTGGCGAGAAGGAAAGCATGGTTTAACCAATTGGCTCAAACTTTATTTGTCTGTTTGTCTTTTTATTTTTGGCCATGGCGTTGTCAGTTTGTTTTCGATCTATGAGTTTGACTGTCCCTCTGGTATCTTTCGTCCCTCTTTTATGAAAGCATGTCTTATAAAAATTACCACATGTATAACAAACTTTTATAGATCCATGAATTCTGGAAGCACTACTTGTGGATGTCAAATACTAATAGAATCATATAAATATGAAAAGATAAAAAACGCTCTAAAACATAAAGTAGGATAAATGGCCAGGTACGCGAATAGGCGATAATTATTATTTTTATTCAAATAAGTACGATATAAATGCGCTTAACACTTGTTAGTGCATCTAAATGTCCAATGATATCTTATACATTTTATATTTTATTTTCAAATTATCAATTTGCCTCAAAATCAGATGTAAAACTTTCAAATAAAATCCTTTAGAAAACCTTTACTACGAATTTTCGGGAATGTATATATGCTATTACTTCCGAAATGTTTGCTAGGAGTTTTTGACTAGGTTTTTGCAGTATAAATAATTAGAGCGTGTACCCTTTATATACACATGTATCTAAAAAATCATGCTTTCTTTTGTCTTCAGGACGTTCTTTGTTCACTGCATTAAAAAATAAACACTGACAAAATTAATTCGTTGACCGTGATCAGTTTAATAGTAATAGCAAGCAATTTCTATTATGAAATTTTGCATTAATTTGTTTTTATTCATAGGATCGGTTTGCAAGTAAGTTAAAATCAAATTATCAGAACTTTTCCTATATTTGTGGATTGTATGAATGACTAACTTTTATCCGACATATTCTGGTTTCTATAGGAGCGAGATGAGATACAGTTTGAAAGTTACGCACGTATAGAACACATGTTGACTGGGTGTTGGCTCCATGCTTTAAAAGGTATAGATCTCATTAAAAAAGGCATATGAACATATAATAGTTTCATATTGCAAAAATGCATTTACATATTCATTAAGTGAACTGATCACAACATAAAGTTAGAGAGTTCTATTTATGTTTTATGTTTCAACTGTTCATTTAACGACAATCACAATTGTAATTTAAAAGACAATCCTTTCATATTTGAAACATTGTTTTTTTAATTGTTTTTTGTTTAAGTTCTTTTGAATAAAAAGTACTTTGTAAACTAAGCTTAAAATAAACATATAATCCTACGGAAAAGACTGTTCGATACTCTTAATACAATAAAATAAAGTTCCCAAATTTATCTTGATTTCTGTACATATATAACAGTCATATTTCAGATGAAGATTACGAGCGTCAAATAAGCACAGAAAATGGAAAAGAAAAATCCATGCACGGTTTACGGTGGGATAGTGCTGCCGTTCGTAAGGTACTTGTATTGCTTTTCGTTTGTGTGATAACTGAAATAAGACAAGACAATCTTAAATTTCCAACAATAGCATTCTAAACAGCCATTGTCAAAACATGTTAAAATCCTAGTTATAACAATGGAACATTATTGTACTTATGAGGTATAATCTTTATTGGTTGCTTTGTTTATAATGTATTAGAAAGGCGATTTTAAACATTAGTGCAATAACAATAAATATTCACCAGAAAATATATGCATTATTCAAAAAATGGTATGCGATTAAACTGTACAAGCATTTATGTCCAACAATTCACAACAGGCGCTTTCTAAGTTGTTTACACTCTTAAAAATGATTAAGCTGAAATATTTGACATAAATTTGTCAGCACCAAGAACCATGAACCAACTCAATTCTGTTTTGATTGGCAGGTATCTGCCTCAAGTGAGAGCATGTACGATGATGCCTATACGATTCAGCAAGTGATGACTGAGGATACACAGAACTTTAACTACGTAGCAGGAATAGTGCCATTTTTGTTTAACTTGATTCAAGATGTAAGTTAACATGTAAATGTTATGTTTTGATTTTAATTTGTTTATCTTTCCATTAGTATGAATGACATAAACAATGCATGGGCAAGAATTATTTCTGGTTTATTTGTACTAATCTATGTTATGGAACACCTTTCTTGTATAAACTAGAGAGTATGTTATGCTGGTAGCAAAATAAATATCAAGTTTGATATGTTTAACTTAAACGAGTTTATTATTTCTGAATACAGAAGACGTTATCGAATTCTAATTATGTTCTTTTCTTTTCCAAATAATTAGCACTGAACGTTAAGCAAATAAAAATCAATGTATCAATAAATACAAATAAATACATGTAAATCTGTATTTTACAGCTGGAGCACAATCCAAATCTGAATGCTAAGAAAACACATGGTATTATAACGGTAAGGAACTTCACCAAAAACTTGTTGTGATTGACAATTTAAATATAAATCCCCTTGTTTTTTTATAATTTAACAAGCTAACAACGAGTAACAAAATGACAGAATACACAACTTACCGACCTAAGAGTTACAGAATGCATTTTCAAAGCCCAATTTAGCTAATAAGTAGAGTAAGTTTTCAAAAAAGATAATTTTTAAATCGTCTTTCCTGGTGTTCAGTAGTTTATTGTTCATTTGTATTAAATAGAAAAGGCCGAATTGTATTATCTGACATTTTTAAGCGCTGCTATTTATATAGATAGCGTTAAGATTTAAATGGCAATTTCAGTCAAGACTATGAAAAGTATTTATTTCTGGGTTGATTTCTCACTTATAGAATGACATATTAGAATACATTATATTATAGGCACTCCGGGAGGTAAAGCTCTTTATGGTGGTAGAAGGACTGCCGTATAAAGATAGACAAAAGCTGATGAGAAATCTGAGAGTAAGTTTTACTTCCTCATTAATGCGTTCAAGGAAGACATATATTCACTGTCAGTTACAACATCTCGAAAAATAAGTATTTTCAGTCTTTTTTTCACAATTTTTTACAAAAATCTAGTCTAAATAGACCTGTTTTCGCATAGTTTTTCTATGCTTAATTGATACTTCTGTAGCTTAGATTTTGTAATTTCTTGTTTGTTGAACGTCTTCTTCATTATTCTTGTTTTAAAACACAGCATTACGGTAGATATACTTACTTTGCATTTTTTAAATAAGTTTTGGATTTTCATATATTTTGGCCTTCAGCATCACTGAATAAACATGTTTTGTCGAAAAATTGGTACAGTTACTGTTATCACGACCACTGGGTTAGGTATTTTGCTGCTACAAAATTTTGTAAATTATTTTAGATTAAGGAACATATCTCTCTCATGTAAAACTCTGATTGCGAACCTGGCTTTGGCTATTTGTGTTTGTCCTTTTTGATTTATAAGCTCTTCATTGTTTTAATAAGTTCTGGATTTTCAAATATTTTACCCTCGAGCATCACTGAAGAGACACTTATGGTCGAAATGCGGATCTGGTCCAGAAAATTGGTACAGTTACTGGGTCATTAACTCTGTTAGTCCCCGAGGATATTGCTGCTACAAAATTTTGGAAATTATTCTTAAATCAAGGAATATATCTCTTTCAAGTAAAGCTCTGATTGCGAACCTGGCTTTGGCTATTTGTGTTTGTCCTTTTTGATTTATAAGCTCTTCATTGTTTTGATAGGTTATGGACTTTCAAATATTTTACCCTCGAGCATCTGATAAGACATTTATGGTCGAAATAAGCGTCTGGTGCAGAAACATTAGTATCGTTAATGTTATAACAATGTAGCAACTCGTGTTACAAAAAAATAAATAAATATTATTATATTGATTTTTTTGCAAACTTCGTAACATACTAACTAAACATTAATTGTATTTTAATATAAAACTTAAAAATATTTACAGGTGATAGATTTACTAGTCAATCTACTCCAATGTCCTTTACGAGAAGGCGATGAAGAATCCCATATGATCCGAATATTTAAAGAGGCCTATGACGTACTACATGCTTATATGATTGGAAAGAGTAGAAAGAATGCATTATACTTTGCAAAATATATAGACTTCTTTCAGACACAATTCACACAAAAGGTTAATTTTCACTTTTGCTTATTTGTATATGTAAAAAATGAAAGAATACCATTATGTCGCTATTATCGTATACTTAAAATAAATCGTCAGGTGGATAGAAGTATAATTTTTTTATATCTTCGGATATTGACATGGAAATGTATAATTCACGTTACTTGTAATTACAAATAACTTGTAGGTGATTCAGGACAAATTGCGGGAAAATGAACCAAAAAAACAAAATCCATAAAACATTAAACACATTCTAGACAAAACAAAGTAGATAAGACTTGTTTACTACCTAAGGTGTATTTGGTAAAACTTTTCGACATATTATAAGCTGGCATCTTTCATGAATTTTCTTACACACAAATAATGACATTAAGTAAATGTTTTATACGATCTTGTAATTTTGATTGGCCGACCGATTCTGAAGGTAATATTTTATTTCCGTATAAAATGCAACATCTGTGAATGCACGTGCTATCCATGACAATTTTAAACAATGCACAGAAAAACAAACGGATGGCTGAGTTTAACTTGTAATCTCGAGATTGTGAGATAAACATGTTATTATAAGAATTGAATTTGAATTGAAATACTTGTACGTTAACTGGTAACTGTTTATTTGTATATGTTTTTTGAAACAATTTTGTTCGATCAATCGCCTGTCATGTCAACAGATGCTTTCTACAAAAAAGTAAAATCACACAAATACTGAACTCTGAGGAAAATTCAAAAAGGAAAGTCCCCAATGAAATGGCAAAATCAAAAGTTCAAACACATCAAACAAATGGATAACAACTGTCATATTCCTGACTTGGTACAGGCATTTTCTTATGTAGAAAATGGTGGATTGCAATTTTGACAAGAGCAAGTTTTTTTTTATCAATATTTTAAAATAAATTATGTTTTTAGATTTTAAACCTTGTATTTTCACAACATAATTTACTCTTCTCCTCACTCATAGTTAATTGTTTCAGTATTGTATTTCAGTCTTGAGTTACATTTCTAAGTTTAAACGTCCAGAAAAAAAAGCTAAATGATTCAATGCAAGCTAAACGAATTGAACTTCTATTTAACAGGGAGGTATCGGTTTAAATGTTGCACAGATGATTGTGGAACTGATACGAGACAAACGAAAGATTGTTGACAGGATCACAGAAGGTCAGATTGCAACATTTATCAAATTGTTACGAGAAACAGAGGTTTGTCTTTTTACTTTTGAACTGATAAATAATATTGAACCTTGTTTTTATGTCAAAAAGAATATATACTTTTGAACAGGTTTTTTCGATTCAGTTCATGCGGTACCATTTTAGTATAAGAAATTGTTTTATTTGTGTGTTTTACTCAACCGGAAAAATTATTGAAGTTCTTTCAAAAGTATACATAAATTTGTGATATTGTGATTATTGCTTTTTTTCTACAGTCAAAAATTGTATTAACAAAAATACTAAAACCCAAAATGAATTCAAAAAGGTGGACGTCCATTAAACCTGACAAAACCAAACGGTCGATTATATCAACCAAAAGTACAACTGAAAACAACACTCAAACTCATGACATGGTAAAGGCCTTTTCCAAATAAAATTTTAGGTTAAACCTTGATTTGTAACTAGCTAAACCTCAACTTGTATAAACGTTGTTTATAGTCTTATCTACTATATTTGTTTTATTTTTAGAACTATCGATTTTTGGATCTCTTACAAGTACTTTGTGTATGTGATGGAGTTTCTATACCAAACAATCAGACATACATTGTAGAACATTGGCTACGAGGGGAAGAGGTAAAGTTTACATTTAAAAAGTCGTAAAGGGAAGAAAATACGGATCTTTGTTAAACACTGTAATGTTCTATCCTCATTTAAAGCCTTCACCTTTTCATAGGCAATGTTATTTACTATGATCACCATGAGAAGGATTTGTTTAACTTGTTCTAATCCATAAACAGTGTACACACGCACTAAGTTTGGAGTAAATCCATGTCTGTGTGAAAATTGTAAAAAATATGTTAATACGTTGATTTTGTTATAAAAAGAAAAACTACAAAAAACTCTATATGAAAATAAGGAGAGTTGATATGCTTGCTCATGAAACAACTATAGACCAGAGAGAAAAGGACGAGGATGTAAACAAATATAGGGCATATCATAGAGACTTCTCTTTTCTATACTGGAAAAGGGTTTACAATTTCAATAATTCTTTTAGTTTTAAGCATTATCTCTTTTATCTCATGTTGTATAATATGTTGTGAAAGCAGAGAATGGAATTATTATATTGCAATATTTTATAGGGTAGTGTTTACTTAACGGACAGAGGACAAAATATCAACAAGAGGCCTAACATTGTGTATCTTGCCACAGAGAGAACAATACATTGGCTGCCTTTACATGTGTTTGTTGATGTAAGATTTTAATATTTCTAAGAGCTTTACATTCGCTTTCTTCTTTATCTTTTTTTAGTGAATTTATCAAGTAAATCATTTCATTACTTTTTGATCTTACTGAATCTGTACAAACATATAAAAAGAAGGGTAGTTATTGCACCACTGGATCCAAAAGGTTGATTAAAATTGGATCAATCGTTTTGCATGGTATGATAAGATTTAAATTGAAATCTAACACACTTCTAGTAAAATGGGCAATCTTATCTGAAATAGAATTGGGTCACAGACTGTGAACACATTTAAAGACCATATTTATCTTTTTCTTACTCTTTAGCTGTACAAAAGCATTTCACATATTGCGTTGCTTATTTATTATTATCTTTTTTTTTTGGGTGGGGGGGGGGTAGTTTAAAACCCCAAGTCCTTTCTAGATTATAATTCGCGTTTTTTATTCAAGCTAACATGTTGTAAAGTTGGCCTATGACAACTTCGGCTGTTCTATTGACGCTAATTTAAACGAAGATTGATCTGTTACCATTGCTTTTGATATGTAAAATTATTGTTATAAACGGCCATACTAAAGATAAGCATAACAAAAACCCGAACACAACAAATGCTACAATATATTGTATTACGATCAATGTCATTACATCTGCAAGTGAAGTTATAATTCCGGAAAATGTTGTCAGCCATCTATATATTGACTACCTTCTAGATATTGACAATGAGGCTCGGTTGAGAACAAACCTTTACGAGATGATTTCAGCTTCGCAATTATGAACTTTCCATTTCTATGAAGCGATATTCCATCAGCGGCTGAATATGGAGTATATATCTCCCTGTTAATACGATATTCTAGAGTTTGCGTGTCCTTGATAGAGGGTTGCTGCGTACATGGAAGCTAACAATCAAAGGGTTCAAAGTAGCAAAGTTGTAGTCATCCTTTCGATAATTATACGGACTCCATCACGAGTTGGTTATCTTCTCTTCTGATTTATCAACGATATTTTTACTTTCATGAACAACACGACGAGTGCCACATGTGTTTCGTAGACTGTTGTTAATTTTCAATGTTTTTATTTTCGTTTTTGACATGGCGTTGTAATTTGTCTTCGAGTTATAATATCCAGTGGACATCTTCCGCCTTTCTTTAATGGATGAAATAATTTTTAACATCTGTTTTGATCATAGATTTAAGTTTTATGAATATATTTATAAAAAGTTGGGTTAGAACACTATCAGGCGAAACTGATCAAATGTAATGCGGACCCAATTTGATACAAATTTAATGCTCCCAAATGTTATTGCGTTTCTTAACTCTCAATGTGGATTAGATTACGGACATTTAACATCTAATTTGGAGAACTTACCATTGCAAAACCTTGAAGATAAAAAGGGGGTATTAAATTAATGCAAAAGTAATTTACCGATGTTTAAATCTTACAAATCGACTGTCTTAATGTATTACGAAAATAAAACTGAAGCGTGCAAAAAACAAAACAAACATTGAGACACCCACGGGGCACACTTGTCAGTAAATATTGTATGGTTTGGGCAAATTATTCAGTAGACTATGTAAGATGTAACACCATCACTTCGGTCCCTGTCAAAAAGAACATACCGGAAAGTGGTACATATTTAAAAAAAAAAGAGTTCATACGAACACATATCTAGGTAACAAACAATAACAGGAAATCAAATGAACTTCAAAAGAAACGAGACCAAATGCGTCGTCCGGTTAAATGTATGCATCACCCAACTGGCAAATCCACCGTACTCAGTCAAACTGTCACGCTCGGGAATAGGAATAGGTAAACCTGCAAATTAGACGACTGTTCTGATTTCTGAAGTTCTAAGACTGAAAACATGTCGCTAGTGAGTAAAGACACGGACATATCGTATCGGATATCCAATTCTTGATGTTGACCGTTAAACTAATGTAGTTTCGATTGTTTTGTGTTAATCTTTTGTTTAACAATTTCATGTACGTTTGGTTTGAAATTAACTTACATATAACGGTACTCCAATGATACCAACATACTCTCCGGTTTGATTTCACGGTACATCTATCATACAAACCCAACTTGGTCCAATATTAGTAACTTCAACTATATCAATATTCATTTCAGCCTGAGAGTGCTGAATTTAACGAGGACAAATACCAGTTCTTGTTACATCAGTTAGAGTTATTCAAAGCATTATGTTTTGTAAGTACTATTAGATAACGTTTGGGGGGCATTTTCAAATATACAACACAACGGAGAGGGAGTTATAGCTTGAAAAGGGTAAATTGGAAAGTTAAATCTGTAATGAATTTTAGAATGCAGATACTAGTGAACCAATTTTGATCTGAAACGGTCATTTTGTAAACAGCCCTTAAAATATTGAACAATAAATTATAAAATCATTTCCGATCTTTCTTCAGTCAATTTCAGACGTATCAACTGTGGAAAATTCAGTACTGTTCGCTTGTAGTCTATAAAGATCTTTTCAGTCTATGTTAAGACTGTTCAGTACTTGTAATTTACCTGTACACATCACCATCATACTCAATTGTCTGAAAAGGTACTGAACATAACGGAATTGACTGCAAGTGAATTATCTGAATAGTACAGAATTTACCACAATAGATGAGTCTCAACCTTAACTGAAAGACGTATCATAACTTAATAATTTCTTGTTAAACTTTTCAGATGATCATTTTTTTCTGTATATTTATCTAATTTAAAAAAATTACATCGGTGAAATGTTTATAAAAATTGGCACAAAAAATCTTCACACATAATGAAGCCAAATGTCATTTTTAAAAAGAGGGGTCCATGAACTCGTTTTCGAGTTAAATCAGTCTGAATGATAAAAATCAGTCGAAAAATGCATCTTTTTCCGGTATGTTACAGTTTGACGTCGCGAAAAATAACATTTTACGTTAGCGACGTCATTACCTCCCCTGTAACTGTATCGTATGCCCTTAAATATAACTACCATTACTTTACTAAATTATATAAAGCAAAAGATTAAATAGCTATATAATATTCAAAATTTGTTTTTATCCAGTTTACAATAATCTTAAACTGAATATATAAGCATGATTTTGTAATCTTATAGGGAAGGAATGATCTCGCTGTTCATGTTATAACAAGAGAACATGGATATTTAACATGGGAGGATGCCTATCTCTGTCTCACATCGGATCTCCTTCCAGACTGTATTAGAGCAAAATACTGTGAACTAATTATAGGTATTCATTATACATAGTGATTACGATTACTTTTGCGTCTATGCTATTCCAAGGCCAATATTTCTATCACCTTACTATAATGCTCTTTAAAATTAAAATGTCAATTACATGTGACTTTCTCGTTAACAGACTACTTTATTATAAGTAAAATAATACATTTTAATGACAAGTCTTTTTTCAAAGTTATTATATTGCAATCTCCACACTTCATCTGCCTATCTATTAAATTTTACTGTCCTTTGGTTTCATTAGTACTTGGTACATACATTGCATATCACTGTTTATAACTAGTTCGTGAAAAGTTTTCACATCTTGACATCTTGCGGGCCTGCATGTTCAAAATATATCTATAGTGATATATAACAAGATGAGTAAACATAATTTAAAGTATGTGAAAACTTGAGTATATTGTGAAAATGCTGTTTTTCATTTCAGTCAATTTACATTGTTTTCGTGTCTAGAATGCAAATGGTTATGATACGATTGTGATTCAACAATCCATATCAATGTCAAAAATTATAATGTAGCATAATTAAATGTTGAATGATTTTACATCAATACGACATTGTAGTTTCGGTTTGAAATTGTTTATCAGATGCCACAAAATAAGAGAAGACTCATTCAAATGTCGAACTAATAACATTGTATCCAAATCTAACATATCTGCTGTACGACACCATTTTACAACGTCACAATCAAATGTTGTCATCAAGCCTTTGAAAGTAATTGTTTTTAAAATACATTATTTTGAAGTCTAAATAATCATGGTAAATAATGCCATAGTGAGTATTTCTATTGTCGTCAATTGATAGGGCAAATAAGCCTTAATTGTAAAATAGGTTTTTGTAAGATTTACTGACAAATAACGCTTACTTTAAATATGCAGGAATTAGTTCGACACCTACTGTAAAAATAGTAAATGTGCGAAATGCTCATATTATAGCATACGATATCTTCATTATCCTATGGATTTTGTTATTTTGTTTTAAAGGGTATCTTAAATTAAATTGTATAAGTTTTTTTGCATTAATTGTTTCAATAATTAACCATGTTGGGCAATCGCAAAGTTTGACATCTAATTCATTAATGTTTTTTTTTTATCTCTTCCAGCATTGTTTGTAGACGTAGGGAACAACTATTCTGTATTGGACCATCCTAATATCTGTTTTATATATGAATATGTTGGATCAAAAGATTCCGACAGGGATCAGAGCTTTGTAAGTAATATGTGAACAGCAGAATTTATTACAATTACGTGGTTAACTTACTAACATGGCAATTTTGTTCGCAAGGCAGTGAATGTTGACGTAGGCAATTTGCTTTTCCTAAGAAACAGTATATTCGTAATTGTAGAAATCCTTTTGTCTTGTTATTACTCATTGAATTTTCTCAAGGTTGTGTTCTCGATTCATACTCTATGTGTTGTAGGTTATATAAGAAAAAGTCGCCAATTCTTATTTATTTTGAAGATAAATTAATTTTGAAATACTTCATACACCGTCAAAATCAGTATTTTCATAAATATATGTGCCATATAGTAGCGAATTGATTATAAAGTATATGATTGTAGGTTTCTCCAAGCTCACAAAGTCGAGATTCAGGAGAGGTTAGCATCGGTGTATAGATGTATCATTTATATATCTCTGCACTGAAAATATTTTCATCTTATTTCTTTAGAAATAACATATTAAGTTTTTATTATCTCTTGTTTTTCCTTTTTTAATTATGGAGACGTTATTTTATTAAATATTTAATTTATAGTATCCTTTAAGAAAAGACTCTTTTTTTTATCGGAATGGGTATCCGACATTATAAAAACAGTAATTCAAATTGACTTTTATTATTTTTTACATGCATGATTTGTTTAATATATTATCTTCAATTATTTTTACTTAATTCGTTAAATTCTGATAGATTATATTCGAAAACCAATTAACATTAAAATTTAGATGGTGTTGCTGCTTTTGTCTATCAGTGCTGTTATGCTGCTTTGTTATAATATACTAATAAATGTATTGTTGGGTAGAAAGAAGAATTTAATTTCATGACAGTTTGTTTTAAGTGGATGATTGTCGCATTGGCATTTGATACTCCCGCCCATTTCCATATATTAGCCCTATTATATGTTCTCTAAATTTTCTTTACATTGAAGAAGAAAAAATTTCATGATTACAATTTACATTTTATGTTTGAAGCCATTATAAGATAATATATTTGACGCCATTGCTGATTTAACAGTGTTTATCCTTACGGTTAGAGGACTTGAGTTTTCAACCAACAAATTTGAGTTTTCAACCAACAAATACAGGATTCTGTAATACGACAAAAGAATCGGTCAAATAGCTCTGTTTGAAAATCAATTTAAATAATGATAAATGCTGTTGATACAAAATTTACATTTTGAACCAACCAATTAACATCATGTGAACTCAACGAAAATGTTAAGGTTTTTGACACTTTCTTTACCTGTTTGATTGTAAAATTTCATAATGAATTTCTATTATAATTTTGGTGATTATATGTGTTTATCTTTGATATTTATCTTGTATATAGGTTGTCAAAGACCTTGTGACAATATTTCCTGTTTTGAGAGACTGGTTGGCAGAATTTTTGAGACAAAATAACCAGATGACTGCATCGGACATAGGACATAATCAACTTGTTGAACAGGTAAAAAAAACATATTTGGATTTCAGTTAATTATTTTTGTTAGGAGTGCTGGAATCATAATATTTATTTGCGTAAAAGCATTTTACATAAATTTGATAAAATCTAAGCGTAATCATTTGAAACAAGGTATACAATGACGCAATTGATAACAGTTTATAAATTTGGTACGCCCGCCTGCTTTTTGCGTGAACTCCCTAACCCCCTATGGGGTTTACGCCTATATATTGGCGAGTTTTGGAAGCTTCTATGGGCCATTCAATATCCTCGGAAACAAGATTCTTGGAACGTCTCGAAAATTTTCGATCATTTATACAGGTAGTTATCTATGTCTTTGATACGGTTCCTCTATTGATATGTTACCACGTGACATATTTTTTATATTTTGACAACCAAATTAAAGTTCATTTGTTGAACGGAAAATAAAAAATTAAAGAATAGATTGCAGTAAGAAAGCCATTTATATATTACAACCTATTTGCTTTTGACAGCATATGCGTTTTTATTTGAAAGTATATATAATTCATGTTTTGAGACGGTCCCTGTACGCATTGTGACAATACAAATGGGAATAATATACTAACATTAAATTATGTCCCAGAATATACTGATTATTTCTGAACGTTTATCATGTCATATTTGTAATTCCACCATAGCCTGAGCAAATGTCGGAATACAAGAAGAAAATGAACAAAACGATATTACTGCTAGAAATATTTATATTGGGTCGGAAAACAGAAAGATAATTAAACAAAACGGTATTGTGTCTAAAAAAGATATTTTCATTAATAGATACCAACAGACCACGGGAACATTCATTTAAATGATTAAAGTTTAAAATGAAATGAAATTCATCATTAATAGAATATATTTAATGTTATATTATCATCCCGCGGGTTTTAACAGTGAATACATTTATGAAAATCATATGCAACATATGAGTAACAATTATCAGGAATGAACACAAATAAATTAGTATCTAGTGTTTAAACTGTAGGGAATGAAAAAAATAGTTGCATGGTAATAATTCACAAGAATTTTGAATCCTTGCATTTCACAATAAACGTAATTAATATTTTATAATAATCATAATTACTACGTATGCGTTACTAATTTTATACCGTTTACGTATGGTTTTATAAGTCTCTGCTTATATTTTGTATAGAAATAAAATAGAAAGTTAGAATTGAAGAAGAGATTAATTTGAAAAAAATGGCCTTTAGTAAATACTTGACGTTTGTGTTTATTGATAGTATTTTTTATATCTGGAAAAGATTTATTAACAGTTATACATGATACGGGTTATGTTCTTCTCATATATTTTATGATGGTATGATACTAAACCCCTAACGGGAGGGATTGTACTTGATTTTAATATGATGAAGACATAATCTTTCAATCAGTTTAATTGAGGTCTGGAGCTGGTATGTCAGTAACTGCTAGTAGTCCTTTGTTCATGTATGTATCATTGTCATTTTGCTTAGTTTCTTTTGTTACCTATTCTGACATCGGACTCGGACTTCTTTTAAACTGAGTTTTTGCTGTGCGTATTGCTATGTGTTTCTTTATTCTACATTGGCTAGAGGTAGAGGGGAGGGTTGAGATCTCACAAAACATGTTTAAACCCGCCGCATTTTTGCGCCTGTCCCAAGTCAGGAGCCTCTGGCCTTTGTTAATCTTGTATGTTTTTTTAATTTTAGTTCATTTATATGTTTTGGGGTTTAGTGTGACGTCCATTTTCAATGAACTAGTACACAATTTTATTTAGGGGCCAGCTGAGGACCACCTCCGGTTGCGGGATTTTCTCGCTGCGTTGAAGACCCATTGGTGGCCTTCGACTGTTGTCTGCTCTTTGTTCGGGTTGTTGTCTCTTTGACATATTCCCCATTTCCATTCTCAATTTTATGAATATATGTTAATGGAATTTTAATTCTTTTCTTTTTTTTGATAGTTCAAACTTATAGCATCTAAATCTTTGCAATGATTGTGCGATTTTGAAAAGTGTATGCATTGTGTTGACCAGCTCCCCTACAAACGTCTTTCCGTTTATTTACATAATATTACCTATTATTACACCCTGTTGAAACGACACAATAAAATCGGATTTAAAATCTGGTTTGACAACAATATTTTTTTGATTTGACACAAATTCCGGATTTAATGGCAAATAATCCGAAGTCAAACCACTTGAGGTAGGCAGTTTGACACCCGAATTCAAATAACATTAGATTTGAACCTAGAATAAATATACATGATGACGCAAATGCTTATTCTTATCCAGAATATCAGTGCGTATGCTTGCCATTTACTATTTCTTGCGCAAGAAAACTACGTGCATGCGTAAACATTGATTTCACACGTGGTAGGTGATTTTTGCATTTCTTATCTAAATCTAGGACAAGACAGTAAGAGCTAAACGTGATTTTGAAGCATGCTCATCATTGAGGTACTCCGACATCAAGTTGTTTTTCTAATCTTTTTCTCTCTTTGTGAGTGACTGTCCTATTATAAACTTTGAAATTTTCGAAATACTAAGGATTACCCGAGGAAAAGATTACCTTGGCTGTATTTGGCAAAACCTTTATAATTTGTGTCTCAGAGTTACACTTTACCAGGAAATTGGACTTTCAATTTCTCTATACAACCTCTTCCATGAGTACAGACAGATTCAATGAGTATAATAAGAAAAATTTAAAGCATCCAGGAAACAAAATATGAAGATATGAAAAATAAAATAAACGCATCCAGATTATGAAGCAAACTGAGTGCTGAACTTTATATCTTGATCGGTCTGTGTAATTTGCTTTAGACATCCGGTTTGCAGAAATTGAGAATTGCAATAGGATTAGGTCTTTGTACATAAAACACGGAGAAAAAATGATGTACACTCCCAAGTAATAAATAAAATAGTCAAGCCTTAACAGATCATTTCAAATGGTAGCTGTGTACAATTTTCTATTTACAACTAAAATCCAACAGTGCTTTTAATTGACTTGTTTAAGAATCTACACACAATAACATACTTCCAATAAAGGTGTTTTAATATCTTCATTACCTCATTCTATTAACAGTCAATTATTTCAAATCAAAAGCAAAAATAAATTCAGCAAAAAATATTTGGGTGACCAGTCAGTGGTCTCGGGTTCACATATTGCTTTTCTTTTTTCAAAGAAAGCAACATGTTTTTGGAATTACATTCACCATGCACCAATTCTAAAATCAATATTGTGAATACCAATGAAGTGTGAATACTTGAATACTTGAGTAGCTATAGGACAAAAAGGGACCCACATGTTAAAAAAAAACTACATCTAAATCCACCTAAATATTAAAAGAAGATGTGGTATGATTGCCAATGAGACAACTCTCCACAATAGACCAAATGACACAGAAATTAACAACTATAGGTAACCGTACGGCCTGCAACAATGAGCAAAGCCAAACCGCATAGTCAGCTATAAAAGGCCCCGAAATGACAAATGTAAAACAATTCAAACGAGAAAACTAACGGAAGCGCTGGATACTGATGTTACGCGGGATACTAGCAGCCCATCAGCAGCATTATCGATCCTGTGCTCGAAAATGAAAATAACAATCATAAATTTGGTGCTTTTGAAATGCTTTCTTGATTAACCGTCACCAGGAACGCACAAATCCAAGCAACTGAGAAGCTATGTTTTGCAATTTAAACATGGATGCATCTTTTTTTATCTTATAATGATTACAAAAATAAATTGATAGTTTATGCTTTTGTTTGAATTTGTAGATGCATCACTAACACGAACGTTTTAGTTTATTTTTCTTCATCACAATATGTAAAAAAACGAATGTTGAGTATTGAAAGCGAATGTTGAATGTTAAAATCCAAATTTAAAAATATTGAACCAACTTGATATCTATCTATTCTGTGAAGCTTATCTAAAACTTTAAATTGTTATTTTTTAAGGTCTTACGACTTCTTCAGCATTTGGTAAAATTTGGATATTACAATGACATGGATGATGTCAAGCAGCTACTGACTCCATTATTGTCTTTGCTAGATGGTGCTCATGATGTACCCTTTCCAAAGGACAAGGCAAAAGGTATAACGAATGAATATGTCATTAACGATACTAGGATTATAATATATTTCGTCAGACGCCCTATACGTTGCACTTGAATCAATTCGGTTGGAGACTCAAATTAATTGTGAAGTTTGGTTTTAGGTGGGGTTTGTTTTGCTCAGTCTTTAGTTTTCTAAGTTGTGTTTTGTAGACTGTTGTTTGTCTTTTGGTCGTTTTTTCGGATTTTTTTTACCTCAGCGTTGTCAGTTTGTAATCGACTTATGATTTTAAATATTCTTTTGGTATCTTCCTTTCCTCTGCTAGGAGCATTTAAAACCAAATATTTATAAAAGTTGTGCCAAATTTGGCATAGGCGACCATAACACGATGAACAGTTTGCAAAGTTTTCTTTTTATATTATAAGAGCTTGTTTAACAGTATACAAACCATTCTAAAGTTTACAATTGCGGAATAATGTATGTTGATCCATTTGATGTATAAATATACTGTAATACATAGATAGTAAACAAAGTGAATTAAATACAATACTTTATTATGACAGGTTATACAAAAGAAGGACAAAAAGCTGTTAACTCGTATAGAGCTTCAGTGCGTTTTGAAACAAGCCAAGAAGCAGAGGCAGTTGTAAATGCTAAATACCAGTGAGTAATAGTGGTTAAAATATTTCTAACAAGATAGTATTTCCAACTGACATTCAATGTAAAATTATATAAACTTGATGAAAAAACAAAAGAAAATTACATTCTAAAAAAAATACCACAAACACTTTCAAGCCAATATAGATATTTACAGATTTTTAAAATGCATTTGGTTGGTTTTTTTAATGTTTTTTTTACAAATTGTATAAAATATACTTTCTATTACAGGGCAATGGAAGTTTTGGATTTTTTGCTGACATTCCAACGTAATCTGCGTTTAAAGGTAATGATGGACATTGAAATGAGCTCATTTTATTACAGCAACAGTTAACATATTGAAAAATATCCATTTGTATCATTTGAATAAAGGGAGGCTATAATCTCATTTTAATCAATTGTATTAATTAAAAACATTTGGCTGACTATACTTTTTTAAACGATATGCAATAATGGTTTTGTTGACTTCTGTACACATGTTGTGTGGCCTTAAGTGTTTCAAGTAATATCCCATTCTGACTGCATTTCAACACATATCATTTCATTGTATAGTAGCATATTTTGCATTTTTAGTCGAAAGACGTCTTAGTGACCTAACACAAACAATATATGATTTCAAGATTAAATTCAATCATAGTCTTGGTGATTGCAGAATATTTAAGTAGATTATCTTCATGTTTTTATTTATTTATTCATAGGCTTTTGTGACCAAATTCAAACATGGAGAGCAGAACTCATTTTCAGGAAAATCACCACTGATTTTAGAACCTCTGATGTATGAAACCTACAATCCACATGAACAAATAAAGTAGGTATACAATTTCAAAATTATCGTAAAAGAAATCTTTGACACACTCATTAACAATTTTGCATATTTATTTTCAAGGGAATGCGTGAATGATATGTTACACTTTGTTGTATGTTTCAGAAAAGCTCTCAGACACCAGAAGAAGGTCATTAAAGAACTGAAAGAAATGTTTAGCAATTCATCTATATTTGAAATTGATTCAACAACATTAGTTGTAATGGTGAGATTTGCTCCTGTATTTTATTTTAGTAGAAAACACTTCTTTTATTTTCTTATCCTAATACATATGCTAAATTTGGCTTAGTTAAATTTGTAATGTAATTTAAGAAGCTCCTTTAAGAGAATGAATTATTTCAGTCACTACCCAAATATTGTAATACCTCTGTGTGGGGATATAAAAAAGTAAGACGATATGAAAAATACAATCAAAAACTATTAAATTTGTCACAGAAAGTCAGTCAAAATCATGTTCTGACGACAAACGAAAGCACAAACAAAAGTCTAAAAACATCATATTGGAAGTAGATACTGAAACTTCATACCCAACTAGTATCAACTCGGGTACTATGGACAATAAGATGTTCCTGCTCAATGAAGGGCACCGACGTATTGTAATAAGTCAAGGTAATAAGTTGAAATCAGTATCACCAATTCCTTTTGTAATTGACCATGTCATTTGATTTCAGGATCTGTCCAATTACAAATATGACAGGATGGTGACAAAATCTTTAGATATATTGAATAAGCTTTATTCGTCACAAATGGACATGTTTCAGCTTGCAGCAAAGGCACAGGTAAATATGCCTTGGGGATTATTCATTTTAGAATTAAAGGAAGGTATTTCCTTTATTGTCACGTAAGACTGTCTTTTGTTATGACATTAATCACCAATGTATAGTACTTTTGATAAAGACAAATACACATACAGGAATTAGGAATGTAAGCAATAAGGCTTTATATATAATATTTTTTTAGAGTTAAATATAAAGAGAATTCATTAGCTAAAGGAGTTTTTCGTCAAATGTTTGTATAAGTTGTTTGGCAATTAGATTTATAAACAATAATACATGGAAATTCTTTATTGTTATTTACATATATTAAAGATTTGTATTGATATTTAAAAAATATATTTCTCTATTTATGAATTCGTTAGCCAGAAGTAGAATTTCAAAAAATGACAACATAACTATTTGCATTAGAAAGGTTTCGAAGCAGGAGAGCTACATAATTTTGTTTTCGTATTTGAATTTTTTCTGTCTTCTTTTAGATTTTGTTGACCCAAGATTCAGCAAGGGTACATCGTGAACTTCAGAGAAGCCTTCCTGTTTTACGTCGACTTGCAAAACAGAAGTTGAACGATCACCAAATTCTCCTGATGGGAGAAATATTAGATGAATTAGCAGAGTATGTCTGAACTCTTACTAATTTATAAAATGAATATCCAACCAGCAAAGATTTAATTTCATATCTTATATCGTTGTGGTTCAATTTGTGAGTAAAAACAGCTTGATTACATAATGTACAAATTTCGTTGTTTTGCCAATTTGCATTTTTTGTCTTAAAATAATATGTCAAGATATTCATCTATAAGTGTTAAATTGTATACAAAAATATCTAACATTGTTATTATAATCTGTCTTACTTATTATAAATGTTTCTTATCTATTTACGGTGCAGATAAAGCCCACAGTTGTACTCAGTGGCATATGTACATCATATTAAAATATAATATTGTTTCCCCGTTTGTCAGATGTACATCAAGTTAAACTTGTCATATGATATTTGTAATAGATTTGTAATCATTATTTTTCAAGATTTTGCCATCTACCAAAGACACCAGAGGAGCCTCATTTCATGAATCAAAATATCCTCATAAGTCATGGTGAGATTTTTTTATTCTTATATTACATGGCAAGCGTATTAAACAACCTAATTTGAAGGTACTTGGCATCATCTAATGGTAAAATGAAAACAGCACTAGCTTCAAAATATGGTCAGTTATGTTATTTGATACTTGCTATGCTACATGTCAATAAATGTAATCGTCTCTTTAAATTGGATAGAACAACATACCTTTTAAATTACATTTCAGTTATGAAAATTCTATTTTGCACATTAATGAAATATGTATTATGTTTTACAGGCATTCTTGCTATAGTGATAGATATTCTGTCTCAGGAAATTGACACTAAATTAGTGGTATGTAAAAATAACATTATTATTCATAAGAATTTACTTTTATGCGGTTAGCAAAACACATAACAAGAGAAATAGTATTTAGTTGATAAAACTGAATTTTGATCTCTCTTAAGATGCATTTTCTATCTTGATTTCCTTGATAAATGGTTATTGCTTATGAGGACGCAATTAGGCCAATGGTTCCAAATGTGGATTTGAAGTCAACCTTCAAAAGTTTAGGGACGCTACCATGAGTTAGTTGACCGCGTATACCGTTATGGAATATCTGAACAGACGACAACAGATATGTTCCAGTTGTCGTAACCACAATGCCGTCCTATTTTCTCGAATGTGGCATTACCGAATGTGTACTTATATGCGTCACACGACGTGTGCCACGTGCCGTGCAGGATCTGCTTACCCTTCCAGGGACATGATATTTCCCCGGTTTTCGAAAGAGGTTTTATTGTTCAATCTTAGTTTTCTATGTTGTGTTTTGTTGACTGCTGTTTGTCATTTGGTCGTTTTTCGTTTTTCTTCGATATTTCATTTTTACATATCCTTTCAATATCATCCGCCTTTCTTCGACAAAGTCATTGTGGAGATTAACACAAAATAAATAGGCAAATCATATAAGTATATTTAAAGAATATGATGTTGATTAAGAAAAAAACCATTATCCAGTCAGTATTTAAAAATTTTGTTTCTTTAAATCAGGAACAACAGTACCAAGGTATGAAGAAAATATTTTCTAAAACATTGTGGCTGATGAAGCTTCTAGCCAGAGAAAACAAAGAAGTTCAAGAAAAGCTGTTTCAACATCTGGATACACTTTTATCGGTTCAGATTGTACCATCAGATTTAGCACTGGCACTCAAGGAGGTATGTTATTTTATAACTTTAGATACTGACAAATACACACACTATTATATATTAGATCAATTGTTGTTTTATTTTAAATCATTTTTTTTTTCAAATTGTAGCATTTAGCATGCTTTTGACAAGTAAAATATTTGTTTATTCCGTCTGCTTATTTTACAGCTATTTGTTGCTAATCAAAGTACATGCTTGAAAGTGTCATCAAAACAAATTCAAAAAATTGTACTGTTGGCAGCTGACTATCAACAGGAGGCACCAGAATTTTTAGAACTTTTAAATGTCCTTGTGAAAGTGGACGGACTTGACTTAACAATAAAGAGAAATCAGGCGCTTGTTATGAAATACATAATGCAAAATTATAGAAAAGCTGCATATGTTCTTGACCAGCCACGAGATATGAGGGAACAAATTCTGACAAATAAAAGGGAAAAGGGACATTTAGCTTACTATGTCCGATTGGTGGACCTTCTAGCTACATGTGCAGAGGTAATTATATCTTAACAGTTGACTAGTACTTAATTTTTTTATTAGAAAATGCAGGTAGAATATCCCTTCAAAAATTTAAAAAAAAGCAAACATGGATTTGAAAACAATCTAAATCGCTTTTTCAAAAAGAAACGTTACCAGGTGCGTGGATAGAGTAAGTACTTTATTCCACCCACGTATCGCCTATTATGGAATTTCAGTCAAATCCAGGAGTATGCATCATGACTTCAACACAACTAAACCAATCATAATGTCAAATGGACAATGGTTGAAAACGACATTAAAACAGAGGAAACATATGTTATCATCATAAGCAGAATGTTATCATACAGAACAATGTAGAGATTCACTAAGTTGATGACCATGAAAATTGTAAAGTAACAAATTTCAGTCGTGGTTTTGTAATTGTTTTCGGTACATGAATCAGTTGGATGTTGTTTGTATATTTTTCATGTCGGGCAAATCAGTATCAGCTATCTAAGTGTATTGTTAGGTACTTAAATGGTTGGTTATGCTATATATTTAATACTGAGATTGTTATGGTTCTAAACGTTTGTTCAATTAATGCGCTTTCTGTATGTTGAAAAGTCATAATCCTCAACACTTATTGTTGAGAGGCAACCGTTTGCCTATACAGGATATGTAACTGACATCCGGTTGGTTGGGAAATATATTGGAGTGTAACATGATCGTTCTAACGTCAAAGAACCATTACTACAACGTTTGCATGATCCGTTCATTTAGTTGAAAGGCATGTAATACTACAAAATAAAGTGTGGTCAGGGACGTCTGTGTTGCCCCAAATATTATGAGAAAAAAATAAATCAGAAAGGACTGTCATACAGATGGACGTTAAACTTATCTGTTTATATTAAGTCAGTAGAAAGTGTCTATACAAAGCCTAATTGTTCTCATGGATGTCGTTTGGAGTGGTTCTTAAATCATCAAGTATATATATATATATATATATATATATATGGAGAGCCTTGTATGCATCCTACATTAATTTGTAGGAGCCTTTGCAATAGATAATTCAGCTGATCTGTAACAATTCCATCTTCATGCCTTACATGTCATGTACTGTGTTACGATGCTAGATTAAAACTGACGAGGAAAGGTAACACCCGGCCATCGAAAGCTTTATTATTGTAAAGCCTAGGTGGTCGAGTGGTCTAGAGCGTTGGGCACAGTGCAAGGCGATTTGTTGCTACGATATCTCAGTAGCATGAGTTCGAATCCCGGCCAGGGAAGAACAAAAAATTTGCTAACGCAAATTTACAGATCTACCATTGTTGGGCTGTTAGACGAATTATATATATGGACATATACTGTTTCGTTCCAAATTTAACAAATGAATAAATATCAAAGTAATTAATTTCCAGACAGATGACATTAAATTTGGTTCAATAACAATGCAAGTGTTTGATACTATCAGACCATCCGTATTGATTTTTTAATTATATGTAGCTCTACTGGCAGCTCAGAGGTTAGACGTTGTCTACATGCATGTCTTGTTGACGTAAATAATTACAATGAGTAATATACATATTCTAAATAACATGTTTGTACCTTACAGGGAGAGAATAAGTTCATAGAATCATTGTGTCAAACGATACTCCCTGTTCAGGATCTATTATGGGTGATGAATCATATATCAATAGACAATAATCTGAAGAAACCTTTTGTGAAATTCATGATATGGGTGTATATGAAGCCAGTTGGAAATCTCGTCGAAAGCGGAGGGGCTGATCTGCAACATGATAAGTAAGTGGTCAGAGAAAGATGTCTATTTGTTGGATGCATATATAAGTTATATATCGAAAGTATACTGACATTAGCAACACTAAGAGTGTCACATGTGAAGCAGATTCTGCTTACCTTCCGGAGCACATGCAATCACACCCGACTGTTATTTGGGTTCGTGTTGCTCAGTCTTATGTCATGTTTTGTAGACTATTTGTCTTTTCGTCGTTTCTCATTTTTGTATGGTGTTGTTAGTTTGCCTTCGACCTATGGGTTTCAATATTACTTTGGTATCATTCGCCTCTCTTTTACGTTCAACAAAATATCACTGAACCAAAAACACCCTAATTTAATCATGTATTTAGATGCAACGTGTGTCTTATAAATGCAAGTTTTAATAATAAAAAAAAATATCCAAACACCAATATAATTTCAGAGTTATTTTAAGCAACGATATAAATGTTATATATGAACTATTTGGAAGTAGGCTTAGTTTATAAAACGGAATGATTTACTATCAAGCAGGTAATAATTATGCTTAACTTTTATTACAGAGATTTGTGGGACTTCATTTCGGCTGTAGCAGGTTCAATTAATCAGATATCTGATACCATGTCTCGACATTCAGAACGAACCGTCAGTTTACTCAAATCACCGCCAGATTTCAGGTATGGTTGTTCTTACTTATTTAAATTTATGATTTGTTTCTCTATAAAAGACCGTTTATGAATAATTGAAAATCGCACTTTATATATTTAGAACCTATTTCATGATTTACCTCCATCAGGAACATAAAATAGACGAATAAAACAGCTAAATTACAGCTAATTACACTTTATCCCGAATATTTTATATTTGCGAATGCTCTTATTTTCTTGTTGTATTTGTTTAATAAATTTAACTTTCAAATACATTTGTTTCTTACAGTTTTGTAGCGGATGAAGATGACCCTAAAGAAATTTTACATGGCAATATTTTCTTTATATTAGATGCTGTGTTGCCTTTCCTTGAGGTAATATCTAAAGGATTTAAAAATATTGCGTTTTAAATGTAGTTTTCTGCGCTTATAATATGAAGGATAAGGAAACATATTTTATAGATCATATTTTTACTATATATATATCCGTTATAAGTGCAAGTTTTATTGGTTAACATTAGTCGCGTTTTTCAGTTGATGTTCAGTCATATTACTGCATCATCAAAGAGAATGGCCAGCTATGTCTTTCTCTACAACATATAGATTTGTAAACAGTAAATTATTCATATGAAAAAAGTAAAATCACTAAAATACTGAACTCCGAGGAAAATTCAAAAAGGAAAGTCCCTAATCAAATGGCAAAATTAAAAGCTCAAACACATCAAACGAATGGATAACAACTGTCATATTCCTGACTTGGTACAGGCATTTTCTTATGTAGAAAATGGTGGATTGAAACCATGTTATATAATGTTATATAATTTCGTATGTAGATTTTTACGTAGATTTTTGACTTGCTTTTATCAAATGGTACTGCAAACATTTTACCTGTTACGCTTGCACCGACATATTCCTATATTTAGGTTCTGATACACTGATATATATTCTGGTAGCACGAGCATTAGTATGTAATTGATGATTATTGGTATTTATTCAAAAGAAGAAGTTGCTCCTAGAACAAAATCGGCATTTAGTAGAAAGTCATATGAAATCTTTTTGAAATTAAATTTTGTATATTCAAGGTATTCTATTCAATATTTTATTCACTTGACAAAGACCTATACCCGACTGAACTGGATCATACAGATACACTTGCTAGTGGATTTGCGGTATGTGTTATTATGAGAATTAATATAACTATAGCATGAGAAATAAATACGTATTCGAAATTACTGGATAGATGCTATGTTAATTGCGTCTTCCTTATATTTCTTCGGGTTTTCATCTAATTGTCTTTTCTTAATATTGGTAGAAATACGGATCTTGACAGTTTTACATTTTACTGTAATATGACAGAAAATATTTATCCCTACGTAACATTCATAATTTTTTTGTATTATGAAATAAATGGTCATGTTCTATATATTTCAGTCGCTGTGCGAGTCAATAGGCTCTTTGTTGACATCACCAGCACATATGAAATCACTTGTGGCAACCGTTACAATTTTAATATCATCATCAACTGCTCCAAAATCGGTAAGTGTATTCAACTTTCACGACACAGGTACATACGAAAAAAGGATAGGATCTAGTCGGTTTGGCGATTGACTTTTTTCTCTTAGTGCTTTACATTATGAAAATATTTGTGTATTAGCACTGTTTTGATGCCGCAGATGGAGGACTGCTAGTTACGTAGAGTATCATCTGTCTGAAGATTGTATGACATACTAGGTATGAGTTAGATGGTACTATTGTAAATAAAGTTATAGTTCTATTAATGTTAATATATCTATCAGACCAGAAGGTTTTTGTTATGTCTTTCTTTCCTTTTTTAAGTCAATTCGAAATTGATGGTCTTTTAAAAAGGTTTGTTATTTTTGCTTTCCAAACCCTTGGTATTAGGCGTACATGAAGAAAGTTATTCAAGACACAAGTGTTGTGCCCATGAAAATCGTTAGGAAGCATTTATATGTAATGCAAGTGTTGTGTGACTAACAAAGTCATTTATGAGACACATGCAGCTTTGGTCGGTTGAGAAAAGTTCTAACCGAAATCCTCTTAAACAATTATTTGGATATACTTCATTGAAAAATCTTGCAGTACGTGATAAATCAAACTTTCACTTAATAAATGTGTGGCGTACAAATCGCGTTTCTGAATTTTCCGTCATCAGGAACCCTCATACCAACAAAAGTGAAAGCCAAGGATGTATTACTTCCTTAACACGCAAGAATTATATGATCGAACGTGGCCTAAACGAATAAAAAAATTCATCTAAAATCAACTTTGCCTGAGGGAGTTGAAACCTTAGTTTTTTAAATGACTTCTCAATTTGTAAACGGCGAATTTAATTGCAAAAGTGTGTTAAAAAATCATGTCAGTAATGAGCTCCGACTATTGTGGTATGAAACATGGTCAAAAACCCATCCAATATTTTTGCGTCACTATATGTACACATATCGTTTTAAAAATACATAATTGTTTCATTTGCAAAGTTTAGGCACAGAAAGCACTTTTTTGGTTTTTTTGTTTTTGTTTTGTTTCGAAAATATTCTCTTTTAAAATATCAAGCTTTTCATTGTAAGAAAAAAACTAAACTTTACTAAATAGAAAGGAAAGGATATGGAGTATCCATTCATGATACAAAATCAGTACATGAACAGCAAAAAAACACGAAAAGCAAAGGACTTGTTCATTTGAAATAAAGCATAACAAAATACCGAACTCTATAAAAACTTACAAAATATAACGTTATTAACCAACAGAACGAAAAAACAATGTGGGTAAAACCAGGTTTTTATAGCTAGCCAAACCTCCCACTTGTTTGACAGTTGCTTATAATTCCGTTATAATGATAACATTTGGTGAGCAACTGAAACAGACATAATAGGTTTTATGCCATGGTATTGTCATTTTGTTTCGACTTATGAGTTTGAATACCCTTTTGGTATCTTTCACCTCTCTTTTAATGTGCCAATAAATTGGGTCCAGCAACCAAAACTTTGTAAACATACAATGTTGAGCTCTTTTTTCCAATTTACCCCCTGATTACAGGTTTAAGTATTTTCCTTCCAATAATTAAAGAAGTCTAAGCTAGAAAACTGTTAATTAAAATTTCTTCAAATATGTTGAATAATTCTTTTTAGGCTAATATTGGTGCTTTGGATAAATTTACACAACAAATGAGACTAGCAGATACTAAGAGTGATGTAAGAAAGGTATGTTTACTTATCTAATTAAAATTTTGAATTTGGTGTTAATGACAAATTATCAAATTAAAGACAAGTCATGTGAAGACAAAATGTAAAAAGTCAGAGAAAAACAAGTCTGCAAAACATAATTCAAACTTAAAACCAGGTCACATCGTAAGATTTGCAGGCATTTTAGACATGTGTTGTGTGATGGAACAATTGGGATCTAGCCGATAAAAAACGGTAATGTACTTATATAGTGAAATTAAAATAGCACTTTATAAATTTGTTGCATCCGTAGCATTTTTCTAAATTTTCCTTTACCAGTAAGCTCAAATCCAAAAATGCTAAAAGTCAAGGATTTAAAAGAGACTGAAAAAATCGAAATAATACATGTTTCATTTATTATTATGTCATGATTCAAATTAGAAAAAAATTAAGTTTTTCTGTATTAAAAAATTGATATAGGATACAACAGAGACAGCTAAGTCTGCCTCATATCTGACATCTTGGAATTGACAATGAGGGTCGGTTGAGAACAAAATTTTACAACAAAAGAGATGATTTCAGCTTCCTACTTGTGAACCTGTGATATCTTCCAATTGTCGTAACCATAATTCCGTCCTCTTTTTTTGAATGTAATCTGCCGTATTAAGACTTATCATCGGGTGTGCTACATATGCAGCAGGATTTGCTCACCCTTCCGGAGCACTTGAAATCAACCGTGGTTTTTGTTGGGGTTCGAGTTGCTGCTTAGTTTCTATGTTTTTTTGTTGTTTTGTGAATTGTTGTATGTCTTTTTTGTCGTTTTTCGTTTTTTTGCCATGACATTTTCAGTTTTTTTTCGTCTTATGAGTTTGAATAATCCATTGGTATATTTAGCCACTCCTGGTCGTGTTGTTTTGACCATGTGCAAGTCAAGTACATATCCAATCGAGCTTTATTTGGTGTTTGTATATTCTGAATTGTGAGTTTGTTCATATTGGTGTGATCAGTAGTGTCACAAATGTGAATTTGTTGATAAAAGTTCTTATTTGCATATCTGTATGCAAAGTTAACGGATCTACATGGTTTTCTGGTTATGAGGAAATATTAAAATGAATTACTTAAGACTTAGTTTGTACTATGACGGGAAAATGGTGTCAACAGAGGAAACGTTCGCAACACAGCTCTTCTGTCGATTTGAAAACGTATTAAGTTAAGAAAACACGTTTGATATTAATATCTACATAATTAAATTTCGTAAGTATATGAGAGGGGAAGTGATCACAAACGACCTTGTGAAACTATTCAGAAAAAAAAGATAATGTCGGAGAGGCTTTTGGCAATGTTATTTTCTTTTCCTTATCTAATTAGATAATCAAAATCATGCAAAACTATAAATTATGCAGGGAAATATGGAGTATTACTGCAATGAACTGGAATTGAATGCCAAATTTCATACATTTGCCAAAAATAACAGCATTATTCATAGAGGCCACAACACTGTTCAAGCACAAATGAAGTATAAATCTAAAAGAGGTAAGTAAAATACCATTGGATTAACTTAATGAATGCTTTTCATTATGATGTAGCTATGATCACTTATGGGTCAAGTAGATTGGTAAAAACATTTTTTTAGAGTAAACAATTTGCAAATATTGATTACATGGTCAAGGTTGTGTTTACGCATTTTTGCAAGTCATATTTACAAACAAAGATATGAATGAATAATTACAAGTATAACAGAAAAGACTCAGTTTTTACCAATACCTGAGCAAACTATTCAGATAAAACTTAAGCTTAATGTGTTTTCCTGTACTTATCTGATTTTGGAGTGAAACAAAAATAAATCATCAGTATTGAAGCTTGTATTTTACAAGACAGTTTTAGTAGCTTCCACGGTCTTACTTTATCAATTTTTATTTATTATAGATATATTGAGATCCTCCTGGTGTGCATTTGAAATCGTGATAAACTATATACATTTCTTGCTTGAATGTTGCTTGCAGAGGCAAACAATGATTTTATTACATGTTCTTACTTCCAAATATAGAATATACAGAGATTGGAACTAATGAAGAGCTACCTCTTGGAGAAGAATTTCAAAGTTTAGTGAAATGCTTTTGTGAACCACACGAAAAAAATATTTCCAAGAAGTTCCAATTAGCAAAAAAACTACTGCAGCAGTTAGAGTGAGTGAAGCAAATTTCATACACCTTCTTTCGACAGTTTTTTGCAAACATATACTTACGATACTTACATTTAAGATAAACAATTGAATCAGTACAATGTAAAAACCCTATCTGAAATGATAATTTAATGTTAAAACAACAGCACTTAATCGATCTTTTTTCGGAAATTAAGTTATACCACAACGTTAACACTCTGCATAATTTTTTCTATCTTTATTTAATATGAGCGGCTGGAGAATACTGTTTAAACTAATTGCCTATAAAATCATCCTTCAAGATCTGGAAGTATTAAAATTAAAAAGGTTATTTCCAATTTCTGTAACTTTTCAGTTGTATCAATATTGAAATTACGGTCTGACATTTCAATAATCTATTCGATATCAAGAGAAAAATTTGAAACCTTATTGTGCAACTATGCTTAGTAAATAACAATAACATGCAGTAGCAGTTCTTTTTCACTTGTTCCATTGATTGATAGCGTTTGATTTTGTCCGATTTTGGACTTCCCCTTTTGAATTTGCCTTAGAGTTCGGTATTATTGTTATACTTTTTTATGCAACGTATGTCACGCTACAAAAAGTTATTTTTATATTCAACTACTCAAAGGCGAATATTTTTATAACACTTATCCGGTAATAAATGCTTACCAACAAAAGTCTCATTAACATCATTTTAGACAATATCCTTTATCATAAGTCAGTGCAATCGAAAAAAAACTCCTTACTTTAAAGATCAGTATGTACCTGTCATATTTTATGCCTATCAATAGCGACTAACATTCTTAATAACATGAGTTGTAGGACCTAATGAATATTGACGACTTAGATTCTTAACATCCTGACTGCACGTGCAATAGTTCCCCCTTCATATATAAACATTGTCAATAATACTTCTCTGCGATATGTGTTATCCAAAGGCCCGAAATACCATTACCCTAGATCCATTAATTGGAAACACTATTTTGAAATACTGATTCAGTCGACGATCATGCACGGCAATATACTAAACTTGAAAAAGTAGGCATAAATACCCTTTCCGAATGTGTTAAGGCTGTGATGTTGTTGATACAAATTAGAATAAAAAAAACTTAACTCACGCTACCTCAATCTTAAAAGACCCAAATATTACTAAGGCACCTATTATGCATTCGTAACCCATATGTTATTGTCCCCGCAGATGAAGCCCCAAACAAAATATTGTGTGTAAACCACAATACATAAACTGCTTGGTATTGGAGATAGGTATTGACAATTCACTTGGGAGCACACATCAAACAATCCCACGATACTTACTATAGTATAAATAATTGAAATAAATTGATTAATTGGCTGTCGACGTTTTTATTCACAAAATCGGTTTAATACCACAAAATATTTGTAAACTCGAAAGGCTTGTTCTGCATAGAAGGTAAGTATTTTGACATGTTTAATCCTTGAAATAAATTCGTCATTGATACCAGGTTAGTATCACCCGTTTCGTCAACAAAAGACTCATTAGTGACGCTCGAATCAAAAAAGTTAAAAAGGCCAAATAAAGTAAGAAGCTGAAGAGCATTGAAGACCCAAAGTTCAAAAGATTTTGTCGAATGCAGCTAAGGAAGTCTATTCCTGGGGTAGAAAATCCTGAGTATTTCAAAAAATGCAAAGTTTTGTTAACATTAAATTTCTTATTATGACTAAATCAATGATAATTAATGTCAACACAGAAGTGTTGACTACTGGACTGCTGATACAATCGGGGACGAAACCTCCATCGGGAGTGGCATCGGCCTAGTGGTTGTAAATTAACTCATCATAGATACAAGTACTAAAAGTGTGTAATCAAGACGCGCTTTTCGTCTAATGAAATGTATTTGTTCATCCTATGTAAACATTTGTAATTACATTTCAAAATTTAATCTTAATGGTATATCTCTGTAGGATTTCATCTAGACAAATCCTAACATCAACAACAGCAACAGTATCACAAGAAGATCTCGACATAAAATGTTTACAAATTCTCAGAACTTTTATTCACCAAGAAGAAAGAAAACTTCGAGATGATTGGGATCAATATGCTTCAGATGCAGTCATAAAAAAGTGAGACAAAATTATATTTAAATGACGACGCATTATACACGCCGTCGGCAATTATGCTTTTTTGGATAAAATGTCTATTTTTCTATGATAAGACAAATATACTAGATTCATTTAATAACATATAGTTATTGTTTGATTTCTTGTTGAGTTACATCCAGCAAGAAATTCTGCTTGCACACCCAGGATAAAACTGTTGAAACAATAAAACACTTAGGAGATTTATAGTAACATAATTGGTAGACTTAGACACTAACTCGAATTGGCCATATTCATTTCGGGGCCAATTGTTGCCGTTCAAAAGACAAACTTTGGACAGTAATTCTACTTTAGCGTGGGTTTCTGCTTTTGACTAAATATTCTCGACTTGTTTTGATCGAGTCACACATCCTGAAGAGTCCCACAATATATAGTGAGTTCGTCATGTTGTGCCTATTATTTTATTTAAAATGTTCACGGTTATAAAAGAAAAAATCAATTGTTCATTTGCTTATGAAAAATCATACTTGTTATAAGTGTGTTCCTGGTGCAGTACAAATTTAATTAAAAATATGAATTATCTTAATATTATTGTGATATGTGATGGAAATGTTAATTTCTATCAATATGCGTGTAACATTAATATTTTCTAAAAGGTTAACACATTTCAGAGTACAGGCTTGGATTATTATTCTTCATTATTTTAAGGCAACTTGCAAATATCAAAGAAGTTCAGACAGCTATAAATTCTCACGATTTTGTTGGTAAAGTTCTTCCACATATAGCTAGACGAAGTGATGCCATTGTTAGAGAGGTCCTGGCATTCTTGAGTTTGATGTTGTTCAATGCCAACCGAGACGTTCAGGTCAGTCAAAATAATTTCAGAACACAAATATCTTAACAAAGATTGTGTTTATTTATTCTATGATAAAATGATAATGATGAACGATATTACATAAAACTGCTCAAAATTTACTAGTTGTAAATAGTTATTGTGCATAGTAATTTAGTATTGCACTCTCTTTAACTCTTTTACAATATCTTCATGTCCAAATGTAGCTAGTTTTATTTTGCACAATTTAAATGAATTAGATAACATTTTCCGTTTACATTCATTTAATTAAACTAACTAAGTCGGAATTATGACAGTTTTGTTCCATTCTTTCTGTTGGTTAATATAGTCAAACGTTTGATTTTGTCAGGCTTGATGGGCTTCCCCTTCTTAGATCTACCTTGGAGTTTGGTATTTTTGTTCATACATTTTTCTTTAATGAAGTCTATATTTGGTAAGAAACTCATCATTACAATAACATAAATTTATATATTTGTAGAAATCTTTGCTCGACTACTTCCTCTCGACACGTGAAGAAGTGTTTTTCATGGCTGTTCGTGATAGAATGCAGATATCAACAAATTCGATTAAGGAAAAGTAAGCGTTATAAGAAATATTTGATATAACATGATATTTTCAATATTCTTATGAATTTAGTTATTTTCAATTTGTGACATGTATTTTGTCAGTTGTAACACACTACAATTGTATTAAACAGAACAATTATATATATATATATGCATGATTATAATTTTTATAAACATTTTACTATGAAGTTTTCATTTGCGTTTAATTTATTTTCACTCATACACTGTTTTGTTTTTGATATTGCAGAATAATTATATATACTCAAATCCACTAAATGAAAATAACCATGTTTAAGATCAAGTATTATACCATGCATATCATAACACTGTTGAAAGTAACATACAGAATAACCTTGTTTCTGCGCATTGGTGACCTTTTGAATGATGTTTTGAAATATTAGGTTCCTTGCAAGACGGAAACACCAGGAAAAGAAAGGGTATAAAGTGCATGGATTGAACATTTTATTTATTTTTTATGTTTTATATAGAGTAGAGAAATTCAATAGGACACCCTTACAATCAAAATAGAAATACATTTCATAGATATTAGATATCGTGTTGAGAACCATTTTTACACTTACATGTATCCCTATTATGTTTAGAAGAGCCTCTTAGCTATTTTCAGTTGGTTTAATTGATTTTGTTCAATTAGAGGTAATGGAAATTAGAATATTTTGTAATGTGCAAAGAAGATTAACGTTTCAATCTTGTAAAGATATAACGGATTTAAAAAGAAAATCATATGAAACCTTGTTCGTCAGAGATTTCTTAGCACCGATTATGAAAATAAAAAAAAATTATTACTTTTTTCATCTTTCAAATATAATTTCATAGACACTTACACTAATTTTCGATTCTTTTCAAGTATTCATAATAAGAAATACAAATTTAAATTAGTTGTTTGTAGTGATAATGTTTACATTGTTGATGGTTTTAATGATTGTTACAGGTGCACGATACATGACTTTCATTCGTTTTTCTTTATTTTGTCAGTTGTTAAGAATATTGCACAAACTCTTTATTGAATTTAAAAATAGTAAATTTGTATATAGGTATGAAAAAAAAACTTTTGTGACAATTAATTTGTATTACATTTGCTTTGAATTTTACAAAATGATCAGTTTTAATCATACAGGCTTTGATTTACTTTGAACAATAAAAACACTTTAAACATAATTCTTCTCTGATGCAATTCCAAAATTATTATGTATACAAATTCCTCATCAAAGATACCAAGCTGTTAACAAGATTAAATTGATATATTTTAGGAGGTCATTACTTGCCCAGCATCAAGCAAGGGTGAAAGACATTATGTCAAATCTTACAAGTTTTCAGACAAGTATCTCAGCAGGGAAAAGAGCTTTACAAGTAAGATATTTCAAGTGCATATGTCGTATATGATTTTAGTATTTGATATACAGGTATTAAATACCATAATAAATTAACGACAACTAAAGTCAGCGTAATAAAAAAAGGAAGATTTGGTATGGTTCCCAATGTGGCAACTTTTGACAAGAAATGGACATGTTGAAACACCAAAATTGTGAATTGATATGAAATATGTTTGAATCAAACCAGTTATTGTAGTATGTTAACCTAAACATATAAATCATCGTAGGAAAAATAGAGTTGACTTATTTGTATAATAATAAATTTGTATACATTATAGTCAGTTTAGAAATAAGGAAATGCCTGTACCAAGTGAGGAATATGACAGTTGTTTTCCTTTCGTTTGATGTGTTTGAGCTTTTGCTTTTGCCGTTTCAGTTTCGAAATTTCAGAGGAGTTCGGTATTTGTTTTTACTTTTTTTGTGTATTTAATATATACTTTTTCTGTATTTGTGATATTGCAGATGATACAAACATACGAACTACGGTTAAAAAGAGATAAAATGCAGGGATGGGTAAGTCATGAATGGTATTAGAATGTCATTGTTGATAAATAAAATAATACTGGTGAAATGAAAAAGATAAATCTTTTATTAGACCAATACGTATATATGCACAGATAAAAAGACTAACCGACAAAATTCAGAATTACATATTTTATAGCCAACGATATTGTTAAAAATGTCTTTAGTAACTATTTGTGGTTCGTTTTTTTAACATTGTACACATTTGTGGGAAAATGAGGAGTTGAAGATCCCGTTTGTTCTTCGTAGTCTACCGAATAACTACGCATGCACCTTTAATAGTTTGGCATCGAGAATCAGTGAAGAGACATGTATTGTCTAAATGAGCATCTGATTCTGTAAAATTGGTACTGTTAGTGTTATTACAAAATGAAAATTATAGTAATAATCAATTTTGATGCGGCATTGGACTTTCATGTCTTGTTGACACATCGTTCATGTTGGTTTAGAAATCGAAATTTTTCGTAACACTATCTCTATTTTCATGTACAATAATTACATTAACAATAACTATCAACAGGAATTGATCTGTTATTTAACAACCTTGATATGACATGTGTTTTCAGAACAAATAAAAAATTAAAAATAAACCTGCCTGCGTATGACGCTATGTTGATAAAGATAATTTCGTGCCTTGCAAAAGTCTTTAACTCATTTGAAAATATTTGTTGATCTTAGAGTGCACTTAGTAGAGCAAAGGAACCATTGCCACTAAAAAAGCGGAAGAAATCTAAGAAGAAAAAGAAACCACCAGAAAACAGGAAGCCACCAAATCTAATTCACTCTAATGGTATTTCACGTGATAACAGTAATGAAGCCCTACTAAAATCACCTGATACACCAGTTGAATATTCTAAAGATGTAGAAATGGTCGATGTATCATTAGATGTAAGCTATATAGTTCATATTCTGTTAGAAAAGTTACATTTATAAGCAAAATCATCGGTGATTTACTTGTCAGCTGTTTTACTACATTTTTACATTAACATAAACGGTAACAGTCATTTTATCTGCTTGAATATGACTGCTATTTATCATTCACTACATTAAAATCACACTGAATTTTTCAAATAGTAACCTAATTCATTTATTTTACACGATCGTCCACGTATTACACTATTTACTTTTTATTTGATCCCATAAATGCAAATAGTAACATTGATGTCTAGTTAATACTACTATAAGAATGTGACAAAACGTTGCTAAATCCTTATAAAAACACCATTTGCTTCGGCAGAATGCGCCTTGGTTACGTTGCCATAGTAGCCATACCCATTCAGGCGAAATTAAATAAGTAGTATTCCAATGTAGGATAGAAATGCTTTCTCTATTCGATAGATCATGCAATGCGTTTCGACTTCTAATGCAACCTATAGTACGCTTTAAATTTATAGTACTTTGTAAATTTCATTTACTGAAATAGACATTACTTTAAATTCTTATGCATACAGTATTCAGAACCATGCCTGCAGATGGAGGAAATATCTGTTGACATTTTGGTAAATAGTTTTTTTTTCATCACTATAAAATATTCTTGCATTCGTATTATCATCCTCTTGCGCATCATTTCTATTACTCAATCAAATAATGGCTTTAAATTACATCATTTCATTCATTAGTTTTCATTTATCATTGATCATGGAATCAATTAAACATAAACATCCAAATGTTTCATATCTCATAAAACCCAGTATCACATTATTATCAGTATGTTTTGTTTGGTAAGTAGTGTAGTTTTGTAAGACCTTGCTTTGTAAATTTCATATGTTATGTTTGTTTGGGTAACTTACCCAATTTTGTCAATAAAACAGAACTATAAACAACTATCATACAAATGGGAGGTTTAGCAAGCTATAAAACCAGGTTTAACACACCATTTTCTACGGAAAATGCCTGTAATAAGTCAGGACTATAGCAGTTGTTTTTCACTTGTTCCATTGATTGATAACGTTTGATTTTGTCCGTTTTTATGGACGACCCCTTTTTGAATTTGCCTTGGAGTTCGGTATTTGTGTTATACTATTGTATCAATAAACTTTCAACATTACAATCATCAAAAATGTTTGCATATGAATAAAAGCAGATGTAGGGTATGCGCCAATGTCAGCAATTAAGCGACAAATTTGACCATAAAAGTTTAGAGGACAACATACAGTCTTCAATAATTGACAGATGTTTATACAATATGTTAAGCTTCAAATCGTTTTAAGTTAATAGGACCTATCACAAATAATAGACATTATCCATTTCTCATAAAAATCTAATAATTTTTCTGAATTGTCAGTTTTAGTTTAATAAATAGATGAAGAACACATATGTGTCTATTCATCTTTAAAATCTATAAGTAAACTACAAAGTAATAACGAATGAAAGGGAATCGTAATGTCAAATACGTATCCACTGGTAATCAGAAGGTTCTAACAAGGTATGACTGTAAAATCAATGCTCTATCCAACAATTGCAAAATGAACTGTTTTTTTCTTCTCTTGCAGTAGTTTGTATTGTATTGTCTAGCATTTTTATGAATTCCAACGATATCAGAAGTAATATCTTACTTCCTATACATTTATAGGAATATAATTGGTTAAAAGCAACCGCGTGGAGACCGTGTATATTCCATATTGGGTTAGTAGGGTTCCATATTGGGTTAGTAGGGTTCCATATTGGGTTAGTAGGCGGGGCTTATTTCAATACACGGTTAGTAGTAGTGTTACGTCCCTTTATAAAAACAACACGGTGTTGAGGAAAAATCTTAATGGTTTTAACAGAAGAGAAATTGATGATGAACGATTGAAATAAATTCATAAAACACATTTAAAGCTAACAAGTTGTTATTGTTGGCATTAGTTTTTGTATAGACCAATGGAAGTATGTTCTTAATACTAACGGAATTGGAGACTTGATCACTTTGATAGGCCACTAGTCTCAATACCACCTGTTAAGGTAGTCGGTAAGATATATTCGTTACATAGTGCCTGTCTAAGTTGTTTTTAAATACAATATACGATTAGTAAATATTTAATACGTGTTTATTGTATACTTTTAAGCTAATAAACAAATAATATTTCATGGATGTATTTTATCAAAACTATGCAATACGGATTTGTTTTTTTCTATTCCTAAAAGCGTTTTGTATTTTGTTAGTATATTAAGCAGAAACAAAACAATTGTGTAATCAATTATATTATAAAGTAATAATGTATTGCAAATGTTGCACTAAAATATAGAATATATAGATATATATCACTTGTATATGTATTACAACATTTCAAAGTGCCTTCTTTATTAAACCTGAGGTACAGAAAAATAATTAAATAAGGATTGTGTTTTTGTTTATTTTATAAGGATGAAAAGGCTGCAGTGGAACTGATAAATTCAATGGATGATGGGGTAGGAGATATGTTAGAGTATAAAGATGATGGATACATAGAATTGGTGCTGAAGCTTCTAGCAAGAGTTTGCGATGGACAAAACACAGATCTACAGGTTAGTTTTAAAAGAAGCACTATTCATTGTGTAAATATAATTTATATTTGAGCAGAGAAATTCCATTTTCTTGCCTAAATACAGTAATTCATAAATTATTATAGATGAAGGAAATGGTGTTTAATAAGGGCTAATTGAGCCCAATTTTCTGCAAATTTGCATTTAGTTCAAGATATCCGTTAGTGATTAGTATATTAAAAGTTGTGCGCATACAAAATCCGAATCAAGAAGACGTCACAATATTCATGGAATTTTATCGATTTTCAAATTGTTCCTAGTTTTCAAATATAAAGAGCATGTGAGAACCAACTGGATAATATAAAAAAAAACAGCCAATTATCCTTAAATATAACTAACTTATGTATTTTTTGTTCATCTTCAAACAATTAAAATAGTAATATCATACCATTCGCCGTCAAAATATTCATAATCTTTAAGTCCTTATTTAGATAACATAGTTGAATATCTTTTAATTATTTATTCATTTTCAGACATATATGAGGGAGCAACCAGACAACGTAAAATCTTTCAATATTGTTGGGGAAACTGCTCAGTTTTTGAATGTTGTATATTCCACTGTTAATAGTAAGACCATAGCATTAATCATACAGATCTTTTCTACGCTGAATGAATTTTGTGCTGTAAGTATTTCATGAACATTGGTAGGTGTATCATTACAAATATGAAAAAATTACCGGTTCTTGGCAGCTCTAAGCCTATCGGGGATATCACTGTTGTATTTAATTTTGACTGCCGATATGGAAAGAAGAAGCATGTGTTATCTATTCCTTCTAACAATACATAATTAAAGGTTAAAATTTTCAACCTGATATTGCTTAAAAATTATGTCCTAAACAGAATTATCAGAATCGGATCAATTCTAGGGTAGAAGCATTAAAAATACTTTATTTTTTTCGAAGTTTAAGATTACATTTAGAATATCACAGCAAACAAAAGTAGTAGAGTATCGAATGATCTCAAAACGGAGAAGACCGGGTGCGTCGACATTTTCCAACTTAGATAATTGTGCTATAAATTTATACTCTGCAGGATTAGAATAAATCAATATTGTGTCCATATGATATATTTTAGACTTTTATCGAGATACATTTTTATAAACTCCTGTCTTTCAACACTTATATCTAATGAAAAATACAGTACTAGTAACACAAATATGTCTAAACTTTATTAATTACCTAAATTTAAAGTAAAGTACAAAATTGATTTTAATGGACAGGCGGTTGATCGAGGATACACTCACAATGAAGAGCATCTAATAAAGACATTGTGTTGTTTGTTTTTTGAATAAGCAAATTGTACATTGCCAACGATTATATTATTTATATCTCTTATATAGAGCCGTAAAAGAGTTTTTTGTTTAACGATTCAATATTAAATCAATGATTAAATTATTTTCGTTTGTCCTTATAGGGAAACCAAGAAAACCGTGTGGTTGTGTATGATAGAAAAGTTGTTGACTATATAAACTTTATTCTCCGGGCTGGCGACATTGCTGACTGTCCACCTGAAAAGGTATTTATGCTGTATTTATGACTTTTGAAGAGTATAATTGTTTATTACAGATTAAAGATGTATTTAGTAAAATATTTTGGTCTTTTATATCTAATAAATCCTAAAGATATTACAAATATGTTTTACACAAAGATGTAAGAATTATAAACAAAAAGGCAAAATGAAGTATCTTGTATGGCCAATTGTATAGAAACGAAGACGGTTTATATTTAAATAAAATGCTACAAATGGAAGTCAAAAATAAGAAAAAAAAAATGTGTATTTTCAAAATGTATCTTCAATAGAACTAAATATGCACAAGCCTAATATGAACCGTTTCGTCTATTTTCTTTCCAGATTCTTGAGTTAAGAGAATCAATTTCTTCATTAATAATATCGCTCATTGAAGAAAACGGTCCAGGAAACTCCCAAGTTGCTAAAGTAAGTACAAGTCTAGAGAGACAAGAAAGTTCAAGTATTTTATATTTCATTCCATTTTCAACTTTTTATGGCCCTGCAACGAACAGTTATACAGACTTTTTTCTAAACGCCTTCACACACTGAGCTGGTTTTAGTATGTGAGGCAACATCTAGTTTATTATATTGCCATGTTTTCTATTATTTTTCGTAATGTTTACGTGTATGTATTGTACTGTCCGGAGCTGATACTTAATGAAGGTTTCTACCTAGACATTTAAAGAGTATAGCAAAAACTCATCAAAGATACCGAGCTTTTAACTTCGTAAGCCATCCTACATAGACTCATCAGTGACGCTCGAATCAAAACGATTGGAATGACAAATCTAATACAGACTTGAAGAGCAATAAAACGGAACATTCCAAAAGATTGTGTCAAATAGGACTTAGGCAATTTATGCCTGGGGAAGAAAAACGATAATTTTTCGAATATAAAACGACATTATTCTTTTTTCCAGGAGGTCAAGGATACCATAGATAAAGAAGCAGTATACAGATGCATGACATCTTGCTACACACTACATCAGACTGACAAACCGAAATTAGAAGACATCAGCAAAACTACTGATGGAAGTTTTCTACAACCAGCAAAATCGATTGCTGCTTTAGGAGGAAGTCTGCTTCAAGGTGTTATGGTAAATGATTAACTTTAGTGTTGCACAAAAAATAAAGAAGGTACTTTTCGGGGGCTTTTTTGGTAATGGTTTTTAAATGCCAAGACAATCTAAATTAGTAAATGGCGGAAATTCGACTTTTATAATGTGGTTCGATCAGGCATAACTGTTCATTTGTATAATACATTATGAGCTTGCACCCTATGGTGTCTCACTGTATTTTCTGTTTGTGAATTTACATATGAGGACAGTGACACATCATTGAAACCTCGAATATATATTATCTACAGTTCGCGATTGGGACAGGTTAAATCCTATAGCCTCATGTAAACTTACAATTTCTTATATAAATGGTTATATTGTGTATTGCAGAAAGGCAAAAATACTGTGAAGGACACTTTGATGGATGTTGGATTTTCGTATTATCTTATTCTTGCCAGAATGAATGATATTGATCCTCATCTCTCATCACGTATGTATACAAGCATCCCGTTTTAAATGACGCTTTATTTCCTAAAAAGGCTTAATTCACAACATTCGCATTATACTTTGTTAAATGAATTTTGATTCTATGAGAACAAATAGTCAGTAGATGCCAAGGGCCTAACAAAATTCATGAGTGGAAGAAGGACACACAGCTTCATTCCTAGACTAAAAGAGACGTAAAGACAAACATCATTACACAACACACTACACAGAAAACTAATTATTGAGATACACAAACCTTACGAAAATCAGTGCGAAATTTATGAATTTTAGAGTGGGACTACTAGCTACACATTACTTGATGCTCATGACAAGTAAAATTCCAGCGATAAGTTGAATATGGTGATTGGTAAAGCAAAATGATTTATGACAACAGACAAAAATCATTTTCATTCAATTATTTGATATTAATAGCAATGTATATTATATGATGCCCAGTATTATATATACATTTTGAATTTTACATTTTTGTTTTCAATTTATGTAGACTTTATCGATTTAGAACTTGACGTATGCATAGGTTATATATATGTGCATATATTCATGAAGACAGTAATTATGCTCTCCTCTGGTTTTTGTACTTTTATGTTGCAATCGTATTGATTTTTACCTTTACATACATTGCATTTTATTCGTATTTACTTTTTTCTAGATTTAAAAATTACACCGGAACAGCAGAAGGCATTTGATTTCTATAAAAAGAATTCTTCATCTATAGAAATAGTCAAAGACGATGTACTGCAAAAAGTTAACTTCAGGGTGAAAAACAAAGTAAGAAATGATGAATATCGTAATTTTTATAAATCTCGTAAATTTTATTGATCACGTACAGTCTCGTATTTAAATCTAGGGCTCCATATATACTTCGGTAATCATACGGTTTATATATACAAACACTTAAAACTACTACAAGTATTTTCGACATAATCGAAATTTTCATTGACACAGCTAAAGTGTGGTAAATGTATGCGTATGTATTAATGACATAATATATTTTCAACAATTACTTCAAAACTACACTATTTGTTTTTTTTTATTTAACAAAGTGTGTGGTACTTTAGCAAATAAACTTCTAGTCACTGCTTAATTTCCTCTATGTTTTAGAATTATCTTCGTGACCAAGTAAAAGAAAAGATTAAATGGACGGTTGACCGATCCTCTCCAAGCAACAAGATCCGTGATCTCATAAGATGGACAAAAGATATTATGCAGGATATAAGTTATCAACGAAAAATTCTACATAATCCTATCGCTATGATGTTTACAAAAGGATGGTTAGTTTTCTAGAAAATTTAGATGAATAGTAGATAATAATTAATATATTGTCACCATTATAAAATGTTGAATTATTCGACACACTGAGGTGTTTTTGTACCCCCGAGCATAGATTGTCGTAGTTGGCACAACTTTTTTGAATTTTCGGTTTATATATAATGCTCTTCAACTTCGTATTCACTTTGACCTTCTAACTATGTTGATTCGAGCGCAACTGATAAATCCTTATGTAGACGAAATGCTCGTCTTGCGTACCAAATTATAAGCCAGATAACTTTGATTAGTTTTGTTTTAAACATTAGATATCACTGTCATGCATGTGATTTATTATACGCTATAATTTTGACATCTTTTAGATTTTTTTCAAGAAACATTTCTAGGTAACATCACGCCAGGGAAATGGTTTGTTTTAACAGTAGATTTAGTTGGTATATTAAACATCTCAATAGTATATATTACCTGCACACGGAGCCCTATTGGTCTCATACAGATAAAGAGTTGTTGTTTTTAAATTGTTTTTAAATTCTATCGCTGGAGATATAAAGTCTAGAGCTGTAGATTTAGTGTCAAGCGCTGGAGATGTAAAGTCTAGCGCTGGAGATATAAAGCCCAGCGCTGTATCTAAAGTCTAGCGCTGCAGATCGATAATCAAGCGCTGGAAATTTTAAGTCAGGGGCTGTAGATATAAAGTACAGCGCTGGAGATGGAAAGTCCATCGCTGGAGATATAAAGTCCGACCTATAAATGAAATAAAATGTATTTTTAAGCGTTTAGCTTTATATCTATAGCGCTGGATTTTATAACTAGTTACAGCACTAGACTTTAGATCTCCAGCGCTGGACTTTGCATCTCTTGTGCTTGACTTTAAATTAAAAGTGCTAGATTTTATATCTACATCGCTCGACTTTACATGGCCAGCGCTGGACTTTACATCCTTAGCGCCTGACTTTTGATCTACGGTGCTGGATTTTAGATCTACAGTGTTAGACTTTACATCTACAGCGCATGACTTTAAATCTACAGCGCTAGACTTCACATCTCCGGCGCTTGACACTGAAAAAACAAAAATTTTTATCCGTATGAGACCAACAGTGCTCTATTCCCGAATAAGACTGTTATACAGAGGGTGAATTTACATTGCTATAAGACGTGTCTCGGTATTTTGTACATCCAACATTCATGTATTTATTTTTGATGTTTTTGTTATGGTTTCGGTTGAATAATGTGTTATGTCGTATCGTTTGTTGTCCATATAATTATAAAATTGCCTTTCAGTACCATCATTGTCATATTCCCAAATATGACTGTTATACTGAATGTGAATTTGCAATGTTGTCCGGCGTGTCTCGGTGTTTTGTACATCCAACATTAATGGATTTATTTTGATGTTTCTGTTATGGTTTCGGTTGTGTCTTATCGTTTGTAGTCCAAATAATTATAAAATTGCCTTTCCATACCATCATTTTTATGAAAATTGTTTGGACGAATATTGTGAAATTAATTGTATAAAGTTCGAGATTGCATGTTAGTAACATAAGCGCGTCACAGTTTTTGTGGTGTTTTTCGTTGATGGAATATGTTCGTTGTTATTCTGTGGTTTGCATGTTGTGTCGACTTTTATATTATTTGTTTGTGCGTTTCTCTGTTATGAATGTTCTTGTGTGTGTGTGTGCTGTATTTCTGTCAAGTAGTGTTTTAGCGATATTTTTTTAACATTGTCATAAAGCGGGAGGTTTGGCATGAAACCAGGTTCAATCCACCATTTTTTCTTAAAATGTCCTGTACCAAGTCAGGAATATAGCAGTTGTTATCAAATAGTTCGTTTCTATGTGTGTTGGCGTTTGTTTTTGTTGCATTTCGGTGTTCCTGTTGTTCCTTTGTTTTCCTGTTATAGTTGATGTGTTTCCTTCGGTTTTGGTTTGTAACCCGGATTTGTTTTCTCTCAATCGATTTATGACTTTTGAACACCGGGATACTACTTTTGCCTTTACTCTTTACCAGAATTTAATTACAAACACTGTTTGCTATTGTTGATTATTTAGTCTTAATCATGTTTAATGTAATCTTTATATTATCTTTGTTAGGTTGCTGTGGAACTATGGAGCTATATTCTTAAGTCTAGCAATCAACTTACTAATGTTGATAACATGGAATGCACAAGCATCATTGGAAGATGTCACAAAAACTGCTGCTATTATCAATGGTACCAATGTATCAACTATACCATGGAATTTAATATCAGAGTAAGTATTATTTCAATGTTTAATCATTGAGACAGAAGGGGAAACAATAAACGTTTATCAAATTTACCGATGGGTTCAGTTTTCGAGATAAGATTGTCGGTACCGAAATATATTTACATATATATGTAATATTTCCGTAAAAATCACAATATACTGCTTCAGTTTATTTTCTTACTGGTTACATCTAATCACAAATATATATGATATGAATAACCTTGTAAAAATACAAGATAATTATCTGAATTGATATGAAAACTTGAAATATTTAACTTGAAAACGGAATGAAATATATAAATAATGAATATATATAAAAGTTAATTAATTGTCTTTTTTCCAAATATGCTTGTTTCGATCGTATTAGATTTTTTTTTGACAGCCCAAAGCCTAGGATAGAGCATATGAGTGAAAGTAACTTCTCTTTGACAATGTACGTACTAGGAGGTGTCCATAATCTGTTTTCTCTGATGGTGTTAGTAAGTTATTTCCTGTCCAATCATCCAAGATTTCCAAGTGGAGAGGAAATGAAGGCACCATTCAGGTACAGTTGCTTTTCAATACCTGTATTTTAAAAGTAATGATTTTCTCTATATCTAGGATATACGAGCTATAAGCATGATAGGTTTATTGAGAGGACTAATTATTATAAGACTAATATATCAAGTCAATTCGAATCATTGGTTACATGAAATCAATTGAATGAGACACGAGGTATGCCTTATGTAATTGTGATAGTATATGCATAATTATGATGAAATTAAATTGGCAACACTATAACATGTGAACTATTCAAAACAATTAAATTCAATGGTCCATGATTGAAGTTGCAGGTCTTAACCATTTCTGTGGAAATAAGATATGACAATGTTACAATGTAGAACAACTGAATACCAAAATTAGTGGGTTCTCTTAAATTATCTAATCACTAAGTTTAAAAGTTATTGACGCCGCCGGAAAAATGGTCATTGTGTACACAATAACTTTGTAATATTTTCCTGAGGGGTTCACGCTTATATATTGGCGAGTTTTGGATTTGTCTATGGGCCACTCGATATCTCTCGGCCGGAAATCAGAACAAAATTCTCGAAACCTCTCGAAACTTTTCGATCATTTATACAGGTAGTTATCTACGTCTTTGATACGGCCCCTCTATGGCTAGGCTACATCGTGACATTGTATATTTCAATAATCAAAGTAAATTGGAAAGTAAAACAATAAAGACTAAGTTGCAGTCAAAAATCTTTCACATGCGTTTTTAATAATGTGAATGTTTATTAAATATCAAGTATAATGATAACGCAATAATATAATTCATGCTTTGAGACGGTCCCTCTACTCGTTGTGTGCGTAGTATTGATAAACCTGGGAATAGTTAATTGACATACAATGACCCAGAATAAACTGATTATTTCTGAACGTTTAACATTTGAGATTTAGTATTTCAATCATAGCATGAGAAAATGTCGGAAAACATGAAGAAAATTAGGAAAACGATATTTCTGTTAAAAATATTTATTTAAAGTCGGATATACAGTGGTCGGAGAGCAGACAGATAATCAAACAAAAGGATTTTTCTGTAAAAAAATATCTAATTTCATTAATATTTACTACCAGACTAAGAGAATATTCATTGTTAAGGTTAAACTGGGACTGAATTTATTCCTAATAATTATAGAATATAATCAAAAGTGTATACGTGCAGTATGTCTCACAGGTTTGATCAGTCATTACATTTATGAAAATCATTTGTAACGTATGAGCACCAATGAGCAGGGATGCGTACTCAAAATTAGCTAAACATCTAAATTTTAAATGGTCGTGAATGAAAAAATACTTGGCATGCGTGGTTTCAATTCAAAAGGATTTTAAATCTTTGCATCTTACAAAAAGCGTAATTAATGTTTTACAATAGTCATAAAAAAATTAATTACTATCATAATGTCAATTATTTTATACTGTAGTAAGGATTTATAAGTCACTGCTTATATTTTGTATAGCAATATATTCATAATCTTTAAAAAGAGATGCATTTGATAAATAAAATGTCCATCCGTAAATACTTGACATTTGTGTTTATTGATATTATATTCAAGTTATTGTCGGAAAAAATTTCACTAAAAGGAATGCATGTTTTATTAGTTTAACCTTATAGCATCTAAATATTTGTACTATGGTACTGTTTTGAAAATTGTATTCGATCAATTAATGATCATTGTGTTTACCAGCTATCCTACAAGTCTTGATTCATTCACATTATACATCACCCTGTTTACCAGCTATCCTACAAGTCTTGATTCATTCACATTATACATCACCCTGTTTACCAGCTATCCTACAAGTCTTGATTCATTCACATTATACATCACCCTGTTTACCAGCTATCCAACAAGTCTTGATTCATTCACATTATACATCACCCTGTTCACATGCACGCACACTATCGGTTTGCGTACACAAAAATTCCGGATAAAATGTCAATGAATCCGGAGTCAAAACACTTGAGTTAGGTAGTTTGACATCCGAATTCAACTATTAGATATATATATGTGATGAAGCAAATGCGTATTCTTATCGAGAGTATCAGTGCGTATGCTTTTTTTTTACTATTTCTTGCGCAAAAATACCACGTTCATGTATAAATAATAATTTCTCACGCGAATGCGAATTTTTGCTTTTCTTATATAAATTCAGGACAAAGCAGTAAGAGCTTGACATGTGACTTTTAAGCACGGTCATCATTGCTTATGGTATATTGACCTCTAGCTGTTTCTCTTTTGTTTTCTTTTTAGAGTCAGTGTCCTTATAAAATTTTTGACATTTTCGAAATGCCAAGGATTTTTTACCCAAGGAATAGATTACTTAACTTCGTAATATATTTGGACTTTTTAACTATTTTTATTTGAGTGTCCCTGGTGATTCTTTGTAGACTTAACTCGCGTCCTGCGAACAACATGTTAATCCTGATATCTTTTTATATCTACATGTCTTTTTATATGTCCTTTTGAGAGTATGTTCAGGTATTCATAAAACTTCTGAAAATGAGTTATTCCTCAAAACTATGTTTCCCTCCAGAATATTTGGATTCATTTAAGTAAAATCAGGAAATCCTTAAAATTTGAGATGTTTTATGAGACCTGTAATGTATTGAAATTGTTTATCTAAGGTCAATACAGAACTTAATTACTTTAGCAGATGCAGACCGTTATAATCGCGTCTTATGATGTGTGGTATTTGTATTTGTTTATCATTTGTATTAAAACCATTAAACTGTGCAGACGACTTTGTTATCTCTCTAGCATATAAATAGTAGCTATTTTACAAGACCAAAATAAGTCTCTATATCAGAGGTCCAAATGAAGCTGGTGTGCTACTCTCATCTGACAAAAATATACGAAACCTTCTTATAAGTTGCATGCCACAGGGTTTCACTTCACATGGAAAATGGACTTTAAATTTATCTATACAACATCTACCATTAGTACAGACAACTTTAATAACGAGTTGAGAATATGAAGGCATCCAGATTAAAAAGCAAACTGAGTGCTTAAATATATATTGCGATTGACCTGTGCAATTTGCATTATACATCCGGTTTATAGTAAGTGGGATTTGCAATAGGATTATGAAAAAATGATGTACATTCCCAAGTAATAAATGAAATAGTCGAGCTTTAAAATGTATATTCAAATAGTAGCTGTATAAAATTATACATTATTCACAACTATTCAACATTGCTTTCAACTGACTTATGCAAGAATGTACACTATTCCTTCAATTCAAAAGCAAACAAAAATTCAGCAACAATCTTCTGGTTATCAGTCAGCGGTCTTAGGTTCACGTATTGCTTTTCTTTTTTTAAAGAAAGCAACTTGTTTAGAACTAGGAAAAGGTTTCGCTACTTTTTACTTTGTATTCGTCGGGAAATATTTTTCTTCAAACTTTCCTTAAATTGATTGATTGTTGATTGCTTAACGTTCAGTGCCAAATATTTCATGAGTGTTTAGGACGATGATGCTATAAACAGATCGACTTAGAAACGAAAGAAACCCATATTCTGTTTTAATTAAATCTGATGCTTATCTGTGCTTATCTTATTAGATAATTATATGTGCTAACATTTGTATGATTGTGTGTACTTGTCTTAGTCGAAACCTTGTTTCATTGGGATGTTTTGTATATATATCATAGTTGTTGGCAAGAGCTTTTTTAAGCTCATGTTTATTGTTGATTGTACACATGTGCCGACCTTACAAAAAAATCACTTTCTTACCTAAGTATCAGAAACTGATTGTCATACAAGGGAATCAAATTTCAAAAATTTGAAAAGACAATGTACCGACTGAGTCAACTCCAAATGGACAGAGACTAGTAAGAACATATAAAAATATGAAAACATGCATGGAACAAACAATTGAAAAGTAAAGCGTCAGTTATATTAAACATCAAAACTATAAGACGAAGTAACTTCATCCGTAATGATACCCTAGTTCTAGACCTAGCTGTAATTTGTAATTATTGAAATCGAGCAAAATCTTGTTTGAAAATATACTGTATTTTGGAAACATTTCATCTAAGAATCTTTGAGAGAGAAACTCCGTGTGTGATTGTTAACAACACAGATGATTTCGATTTATATTATAGAGCGTTGTGTGGCAAAAAGTCAAACAAAGATGACATCAAAGACAAGAAAACCGAAGAAGGTTCACGATTAGATGCCAAGTTCTTCAGTTTTCTTACTTTTTATTATATGGTATGTTTGTATAAAGCTTTATTTAGCAAAGAAAATACTACTTTTGACATTAACTTAGTTGTTACTACTATGACACTTAATGTAAGTAATGACCTTCAATTCATGATCAAACACTCAATTTCTTTTATCAGTAACATTGTTAATTTTTTGAACCGACATAATAATCAAAGACGGGTCAAAAATAAGGTTATATAAATACAAAAATCCTTTCATAGTTTTGAAAATTCTTTAAACAACTGATGACTTATTTTTCACGTCATAAAGCCGAAGTTGCCGTTGTAATAGTTAAAACTTTCCTCAGACATCGCTAATTCAAAAGTATAGTTTAGAGTCATTCGATATATTATCAATTTTAGACGAAAGATATTATATTTCCAATGTTAAGAATGTTACACGCCATTCTGTATCTCTACATTGAAAATTCTGACATTGTAGTCATCGACACTATGTAATCTTATAACTTTTGTTACAGGTGTTCCTAGGTATGTCCGTTTTAGGGACATACTTCCATGGTTATTTCTTCGCATTTCATCTTTTAAACATTGTCAACAATAACCAGCTTTTGAGTGGAGTAATAAAAGCTGTTACATTAAATGGTTAGTAACATTGAATCAATTCTGTGTTCTCTATAATATTTTCACAGTAATTGATAGTTCTGTTCATTGACCATTAGCTATTGTTTAGTAAATTGAATGGCATGCTTAAGATATCAGTTAAGAGAAAAAAAAAACTTTTGATACATCAGTGTAAAAAAAAAATAACTGATTTTTTCAAAACTCTATCTGCATTTTTCTTAACACTCAAATTTATATTTGCGAGATTATATTTTTTTAGTTTACGTGATCAAAAATGTAAACCTTTATGTTAAACCTCTGTTTTTTTTAAACTTGGAATATATACCTTCCCGTTTTGACTAAGTTATATTTTTGTCTTTTTTCAGGTATCTCCTTATTATGGGTTGCCATTTTAGGACTTATTGTGATATATATTTATGCCCTTGTTGGGTTTTCTTTACTTCGTATGTTCTTCAATCCTGGTGAATATTTGTACTGTTCCACACTATGGCAGTGTACTATTACTGTCATACGGTATGGGCTAATCGGAGATATGTTTGAGGTAATAACATTATATCATGTATTATTGTGATCAATGATTTTAGCAATCCTAATACTTTTTCTATTTCCAATCATGATTATTAACATATGCTGATCAATATGTTTATTTAAGTAGTCTAGAATATGGTAAGACCCACGGTAAACCGAGGGTGGCTGTGATGGGTGTATGAATATTCAGCCATGTCCGGTCAAAATAGGGACGATGAATCGGAAATCTCGTGTACGAGAAATGTCATACTCTCTGCACGTTAAAGAACCTTTGCAACAACTTTTTGATTTGACAATATTTGACCCTGTCCAACAGACACTCTTTTTCAGGTTACTGATCTTCTTGGCAAACTTACTATTAGATGTATTGTTTATTTGTTTTCGTCCTGAATATGTATGATATATTAGCCACTGGACGTTGGACAAACAATATTCAATCAATGAATGTGGACAAGTCTCAATACATTTTTAAGACACTAAAATAATATGCTTGCTATTTGTTATAAATATGTACAGTACATAGTACGTGAGTACTTATGTATGTTGAATATGTTCATTAACTAAAATTCGTTTACAATGTATGTCTATTTCAGTCTGTGAAACAGACCAACAATAATGGATATGAGACATTTGATTCTTTCTGGCCATTAGTCCTGTACCATGTGTCGTTCTTCATCTTCATAACTACCATTGGTCTGAACATCATCTTTGGTATTATAGTGGACACGTTCTCGGAGCTCAGGGACCTAAAGGTATTGTATTTCTTATAATTTATTCATTTTATGTGCACAAATGAATATTAATTACAGCAAATATTTGATGGTAGTCATTGAGACACCAATTTTACCAAACATGATATACAAAATAACGGTAACCAATAAAAAGCATATTTAGAAAACTCTTCGTTACATGTTGGCGAATGAGGTCAACAGAAATGACAAACACTTTGAAAATAATCGCTATCTTCTTAAAAGTCAGTCAACAAAATTAACAGTAAAGATCGGTGGCAAGATTCTCAACCTGTGATAAAGTAAACATTACAAGAAACAAGATAGTAAAATTGAGAATGGAAATGGGGAATGTGTCAAAGAGACAACAACCCGACCATAGAACAGACAACAGCAGAAGGTCACCAACAGGTCTTCAATGCAGCGAGAAATTCCCGCACCCGGAGGTGCATGTACATGTCTAAGAATACTCGCATATACTGAAAGATAATTCAATTTTTTTTAATGAATAGAAACACTGGTAGTAAACTGGGTGTGCATTTTTATTTTGAAAGCAGCATCTACACTTCTCTATCTTTGTCATGTCATAATTGAAACACATATGATAGAAGTCTTTACACTTTAATGTGTAAACAAAACAAGTTAGTCAAACGTTTAATGCATCAATAATTTAAATATTTGCAGTGGCGAGCAGAATCAGATATGAAGGACACTTGTTTTATTTGCAGTAGAAACAGTTATGATTTTGAACACAATGGCAAGGTCAGTTCTGCTTCTGTTCTTTTAAAGAAACATTCAGGCAATGCACTCATTTATATAACATAAGCTGTACAGATATGTAAGATCAACTCATCAACAATTTTGCATGTGTAGTTTTCAATAAAATGCAATTACAAACGAAAAAAATTACAGAAGGTACTTTTTAAAAGTAAAACGGAAGCTAAAATCTCAACGACACTTCACTCACAAACCTTTACAAGTCCATTTTCGTACTTGACACAAAACCTGATTTGTGATTCTTTTTATCTCGAAGCAGGATGTTATTGAAGACAAAAATACCAGAAAAAAAAAGAACAACCAACAAAATTATCAGGTCGAGGTCAGGCAATTCATTCCTTCCAATTATTCAGTTCAAAATTTCATAAAGGTAATGTAGAAAAAAAAACCAAACGGTGTTATATGAAACAGGAAAACTATGCTTTGATAACAACTTTCGAAAAACAAAATAAATGAATTGTTAACAATTTTCTAAACAAAGACACTGCCCATTTATTTGAACGATATCTTTTCTACGAAAGAAATGTGTCACTTTTATAAATGAAAAATTCGTTCTTTTCAGGGTTTTGAGCACCATGTTCGAAACGAGCACAACATGTGGTCCTATGTTTTCTTTATAATTCATCTTGATAGTGTAAAAACTTCGGATTACACAGCGTTAGAACTATATGTATCTAAATCGGTAAGTAATTTGTTAATTTGAATTATTTGGATAAATATTTCCCTCTTTATTATGGGTATTTCTTACACCCATGTAGCTCTTTCTGTGATATATCTTGTAATTGTCAACTTCAGGGTGCATGACATGGTTTGGGGCAGGTAGCTCTTTACATCAGTGATGTTTTTGTAAGAGTTGGTTTCGTCATTACTTTTTTTTTAAGATTTATGTTAAACAGTACAAGTATAATCTGTCTACTAGTATTTAATTGTTAATTTCGTGGCTTTCAGTTTTTTATTGATGGCGGAAATCGAAGTGCCGACAGAAACCACCGAACTTCGCCTGGCAAGATTGACACAAACGTACAATTGTGTTTTTTTTTTACAGTTAGGAAATGCTTATAAAAGTATTTATCACGTGATACTGCTATTTAACATAATTGATAATCAAGACTAGGAATAAATAGTAAAAACTCTTGGGTCGAAGTCAGGTAAAAAAATGTAGAATGTAGGAAAGTCACAGGACAAAAAGTCACGGACAAAAAGTCGCAGGACAAAAAGTCACGGACAAAAAGTCGCAGGACAAAAAGTCACAATTCAGTTTTTGAGATTATTTTCTTTGAATAAGAAAACACTGATTTAAAAAAAAAACATTTTTGTATTTTTCTTGAACTATTGTATATATAAACCAACTTTGTGAACAAAATGTATTAAAAATATCAGTTATGATCAAATAATTGTTAAGAAAACAAAATGTCAAAGTGGCTTGGTACTTAAACGGCTTCATGGTGCCAAGAATTTGCATGATTAAAATTTGATAAATCTTCATTTATCAAGGCTAATGAACAATTTCATAAACTGTAAATAGAATATATGTAATAAAAAGTAAATATTTCAAGATCTTTCTCTAAAATATTCAAACAATTGTCAACAAATTATTTGTGCGTTTCTGTCCTGTGGCATTTTGTCCTGTGACTTTCTGTCCGCTTACCAAAATGTATAAATACAAGGTCAAACGCCTTCATATAAACTTTTACCATATGAGCTGACATTTTAAGCATTCCGACTCGTAGTGTCAGTCTAGTACGAAACGGGGTGTACATGTATTATGTATTATGTAGTAGCAGGTTGTCGTCTAGAATGTGCACGGAGGTTTTTTTCTGCTGAACAATGAACAGTCATTCATCCTAGCAAAGTTTGACTTTTTATATAAAACTAACCATTAATTAGGTATCGTAAATGGTATATGATAGATAAAAAAAAATTGTATTTACCAGCTAGATGTACTCTGTATTAAGTAATGCATCTCTCTATGTTTTTCAGGTTGGAACTGAAAATTACGAATTCTTCCCAATGAATAGAGCATTATGTTTATCATCAATAGACATTGATTCGACAGAATCTAAAATAGACGATTTGCTGTCACGTGTCACATCAATTGCAATGAAACAAAAAGAAGAGGTAGGGTTATCTTGTATATTTGGGTTACAATTTTTCCCAGTAATATGTTTACCAGTAACATGAAAGGACATTTGCTTTATACTATAAAATTAAGGAGATGTGGTATGATTGCCAATTAGACACTTATCCACTAAAGTCCAAATGTCGTTGATTTAAGCAACTGCGGGTCGCAATGCGACCTTCAGCAATGATCAAAACCCATACCGTATAGTCAGCTTTAAAATGCCCCAACAGAACAAAATATGAAACAATTCAAACGAGAAAACCAACGGCCTGGTTTATGACAAAAAAATGAACGAAAAACAATATGACAGACAGCAACCAATGAAAAACATTGAAAAACAAGCTACTGACTTGGAACAAACACATATGGAATGTGTCGGGCTTAATCATGTTTGTGAGCGATCAATCCTCCCTTAACTTAGGACGGTGGTGTCACAGCAAGACATAAGAACAAACTGTAAACACTAGTTTGAAATGGCTTGATGCATCAGATTGGCGAGAAAAATAAAACAACTAACATCAAGACAAAAGACACTAAGTATCGATCTAAGGGTTTCGTAGGTACTGAAAGATTGTTCAATGCCAGTTACAACTAATAAATAAATTATGTTCCCCCACACTACAGTGTCTTAGCATACTTTCTCCATTATGAAAAAAAAAACACTTTTAATTGCAATTCATTAAACAATATAAGATTGTTCAATCTTGCTTCAAAGATCTATAATATGTACTTTCTTTCTTAGGAAACAGAGAAAAAGCGAAAAATAGAGAAAATGAAACAGAAACGTTGGCAGGAAAAGCACAGACAGTTTATGTTTGGCTTATCGCCAGATGATAATGATCGTGGTGACGGAAATGGTGATCCGGAAAATGATACGTTTCTTGGTCCACCACTGAGAATCAGTGACCGACCATTGTCAAGACCACCAAGTATTCTTAGCTTACAATCACGACGTCGAACAGACACTCCCGGGGGCACTTCCTCCCGTAAAGATGACATAGATCGTCGTGAATCAGAAATTGGCCTGTCACAATTCTTAACTTCAAAACTACTGAAGGAAAAGAAGGCGGCTGCAGCGAGAGACGATGACACGCCTTCCGTTTCAGATTCAGATGCAGGGAGTGTTGAAGGATCATACGATATCATGGGACGCGAATCATCCCCACCTGGTTCACAATCGTTTGACTCCCTTGCTCAGCCGCCACCTGTACGGGATAGAGCTTTGTCTGTACCAGTTATTGTAACTCCAGCTCGGCTAACAGCCGAGGCTTCCAGAGACGACATTGACGAGGAAGAGGAAGAAGACAAAGAAGAATATTCAACAAGATTGTAAAATTTGTAGTAAGGAAATTATGTTACTTTTGCAGTCGGTGGCATATGCATGATTTTCTGTTTGAAGGATATGTGACATTTGCGGTCATAAGCAAAGAGTATCTCGAACAACGCTATCCGTTTTTTTGTGTTGTACGTAAAATGGTATGGTTCTGTGAGCGATATACTTTACTACCAGAGATTTTCACAAACATTTGAATGTTGAAATTGCAGGATTTAAGAATGTATTTGATATGGTTAATAATTTTGTTTTAGAACTATAGAATGAATGTGGATATTGTATAGAAGGTTTAGGTATATGAAAGGACCAAGTTCTTGTACTAATTTTTGAAAATGAGTATTTAATATTATTAATTTATGTGTTATTTGTATACAAACGCTGTTCCATTTCATGGTGAAATGGAATACAAGTATGCTGGTTACCGCTTCAGAAAAAATATCACTTTTTAAATTGTGTTATATAATATGCATCAAAAGTGGTACCATTTCATTTATCATATTACTAAAACTACAATGACCGTAGCATTGAGTTATTTATATTAATATATTTCATTCTTAAGATTTACCATAAGAATGTACAGTGTTTAAAGGAAGATGATTGATAGAAGTTTATGCATTGTAAAACATATATATAATTTGCTAGGACAAATTCATCAAATATCGGTAAATGATGATATCTTAGGCGCATTCGTATTATAGTAGATATTTTCGATAAGCTGTGGTTTCTATGGGAAAGATTATTTCATTGAATATTGTATTTAGCCAAAACTAACATATGCCATACGTATTATATTTTGAAGATTGTTGGAGAAATATAATAATCACAATATATTATATTATATATTCTGGCTTTCATTGTTTACATTTGTACATATTTCTTGTTTATTGCCTATGTTAGAAATTTCTGTGATCATTTGTTCTATTATAATATTTCATTTTTAAGATAAAATATTGTTAGCTTTAGTGTCATCTTTATGTAATGTATTTTGAAAGTTATTTTCTCTTTTAACAAATAGTTAGTTAACATACATCTCAAATGACCCAAGAGTGACTACGATAAATAATGGGAATCTAAAATTGGTGGCCCATGTTTTAAGATCGCCATATTATTTGCAAGTTAGACAACTCTTAAAAAAATTCTTTGAGGAACCCATAGATTGTCTATTCAGCGGTACTGACCTAAGGGGGGCCGCTCCAGTCATGCTTCAGTGATTCCCTATATAATCAACTAAATTTTTCACACAAAAGGGGGGACCCCAAGCCCCCCCCCCCCCCCCCCCTGGATCCGCCTATGCTATTATAAGGCAAAAATGATGTCCCAATAAAATACACTCTTTTTCCAGTGACAGTAGAAATTCCATTCACTTCAATTTGTAAATATTGTCGTTCCCATCTTATTCACTCGTGGTAAAGTTGGTGTGGTAAGGAAACAATGTCACAAATATCATAAAGTACTTTGTTTAAATGATATAATGATCAAAAAGACATGTGGGGAATACGCAACTGATACAACAAAAACCAACAAGAACACAATACATCTTAGTTTGTCTTGTGAAATAAATTAAAGGATATGTTGGGTACATTTCAATGAGAAGACAATCTAAAATCACTATAAAACAATAAAAAGACAACTATAGAGATCAATTTCCGTAGTCAAGGGGCTATAACACATCTCAAGCTCTTACGCGCCATTTGTCAAGTTTTGAATGAATTAATCAAAGATACCCTAAGATCTGCCACAAACACCAACTCCTTGATGGAGAGATAACAATGAGATATAAAGAACGATAACCACTGTGCATGATCTGCCACAAACACCAACTCCTTGATGGAGAGATAACAATGAGATATAAAGAACGATAACCACTGTGCATGATCTGCCACAAACACCAACTCCTTGATGGAGAGATAACAATGAAATATAAAGAACGACAACCACTGTGCATGATCTGCCACACACACCAACTCCTTGATGGAGAGATAGCAATGAGATATAAAGAACGATAACCACTGTGCATGATCTGCCACAAACACCAACTCCTTGATGGAGAGATAACAATGAGATATAAAGAACGATAACCACTGTGCATGATCTGCCATAAACACCAACTCCTTGATGGAGAGATAACAATGAGACATAAAGAACGACAACCACTGTGCATGATCTGCCACAAACACCAACTCCTTGATGGAGAGATAACAATGAGATATAAAGAACGATAACCACTGTGAATGATCTACCACAAACACCAACTCCTTGATGGAGAGATAACAATGAGCGATAAAGAACGATAACCACTGTGCATGATCTGCCATAAACACCAACTCCTTGATGGAGAGATAACAATGAGATATAAAGAACGACAACCACTGTGCATAATCTGCCATAAGCACCAACTCCTTGATGAGAGATAACAATAAGATATAAAGAATGATAATAACTGTGCATGATTATGTTCTTGATTTTAAACAGGCATACAGACATGTTGTAAGGTTACACTAGTAGTATTAGTTTTCACCCCCTCCCTCTTAATCTCGAACAGTGAATATCGTTCATAAACCAAATATTAATGAACATATACATTTGATGACGGCATCAAACGACGTAAACTCGGTCATGTTTTATTTGTAAATATCACTGATGTTAATCTATACTAGCTTTAAATCCGTGAACAACGATTCAAAACGTTTACAAATCATCGCTTAATACAAGAGGTGTAGAAATAGAAGAAACGAACAAAAGTTCTAAACATCAAAGCAGTAGAAATCAAATTCGACGAAAAACCAATTAAGTGTGCTAAATAAAAATGCAGTGCGATGAACCTATGTAAAAGAAAATAATTGCGTCCGAAATGCATTTCCGGATTACCTTCGTCAGGAACTCTCAAACCGAAACATTTGAAAGCCAATGATGTTTAAGACCTAAACACGTAAAGACCTATATCACTAAACTTATCATCGTGAAATGTCTCTTGCATACTAAAATGATAGACAACACATTACAATGAACACTTTTTTTCGAGGAATAATCTGGTGAAAGTTTATATTACTTGCGGAATAAGCTATTTGGAATTAAAAAAAGTTTACTTCCGTTTTATAGCGTATTCTGTTTATTCGTTCAATAATCTGAAGGTGGATAAGACGTTTGAATCCATCACAATATCAACTCATTTATTTAAACTGTAAGCAAGACAAAAGTCTACAAGAATAAAACAGCTACAGAATTAGCAACATCAATATAAAGTAAGGAGATGTTGGATGGTTGCCAATAAGACACCTATTCAACAGAGTCCAAATGACATGTATTTAAGCAATTATATGTCCCCGTACGACCTTCAACAATGGGCAAAAGCTATATCGTATAGTCCGTCATAAAAGGCCCCGCCAGGATAAAATTGAAAACAGTTCTAACGAAAACCACTGAATTACAATCTCCTGACTTGGGACAGCACATACAGATTGTGACGGAGTTAAATATGTTTGGGATCGCTCACTTATCCCCCTAACCCGGGACAATTGTGTAACAGCACAATATATGAACAAACAGTAAAAAATCAACTCTACTTAAACTAGTTCTACATAAGAAAAATCCTGCTTTATTTTCATGCCCATCGGTTCTTAGTAGTTAGTCAAGAAGGGATGATTTAAAGGCATGCTGCGGCTATACAAAAAAATGACCGGAAACGACATCTACATTTGTCTGTGCAAATTATGAACTAGTACTTAAATTTTGTTAGATAAATTGAACAAAACAGAACATCCGTATTAGGCATCAAATATGTGCGTGTTGCGTACCAGATTTTTCAATGAATCATCTTCTTCATGTGCTATTCATTGAATGACGTATTTATCAAGTAATCTTGATCAAAAAGGAATAGAAACAAAAAATCAAAAGAGAATGTACTGCTAAACTAAGGGCTTTACTCCAATTTGTGCCTACATTTATTTGATACCTATCTACGCCCCTACGCTAAAAATTTCTACAACCGTTCTAGATTAATGGACAAATAAGTAAAAATGCACGGCAAAATAATAAATAAAGTGACACTTACCTTGAATTTGTTTAATTTCTCATTAAATTGCGCACATTGAACGAAAACAAAAAGTACGGAAAGAAAGATATGTATACATGGAGATTACAAGATAAGTCACTATTTTGCCCCTTAATTATTGTTTTTGTATATACATGGAACGAAATAAATGACTTATGTCGAAGTGGAAGGACCCGGTTTTGTAAATGTGTGCGACGCGGTTTTGTTCTCAAATAAGCCTTAGTGAATATCTCATTTTCAAAAGTAAAAAAACCCACATATTTACCTCAACAATCGACATTATTTATATATTATTCGGGATCTTCAAAGGGGAGATGGGCTCGTATTCCTTTTCAGTGTTTTATATCTCCTGAGTCGTCATGCGAAGAGGGTTTTGGGCACTGACGGGAATATAAGCCAATCCTTAACAAATATTATACTGCAGGAGTGTCTTGATTTCAACATTTATCATTCTTATTTTCAATTGTGTGCTGATATACCCTGTCAAGTTAATCAATCAAATTGCAGTCTAAACCGGGATATTCCACTCCAGTATAATATGTATACATGAAGAATTGCCCTGGAAAATTAATGCTATTTTCTGGAGGGGTAATATGATTATTGACATCCATTACGCCGCATGAACATTCATTTTCCAGGGCAATTCTACATGCACATATGTTATTGCCTTGACCTCATTTTCACGGTGGAGTGCCTGCCTAAAAACTGTACTTAATAGATTAGCTATATTTGATGTTTTCCTCTATATTTCTAAAAGTTTCCCCTGGAAAAAATCTTATCACGACAGGTTTGTTGTAAACTAAAATATATTGAATTTCTGTCCATGGAAAATCCGTGTTGCTTTCAATAAATATGAACGTGATCTTCAAACAATAAAACGAAGTCCTGTATGTATAAAGACATGAATATTGTAAACAACATTTACAAGGCCAGGTCCTTATATGCATACATTATGACATGACCAATTTCTTTCGTCCCATGCATATAAATACACAAATATGGAGGTACAACAGTGATTAATTTTGCAATCTCCATGAATATTTGGATCGTATAATAATAGTTGAACACTTTGATTTTAGAATTGAGAATGGAAATGGGGAATATGTCAAAGTTACAACAACCCGACCAAAGAGCAGATAACAGCCGAAGGCCACCAATGAGACCCGGTCTTCAACGCAGCGAGAAAATCCCACACCCGGAGGTGGGCCTCAGTTGGCCTCTAAATAAAAATGTGTACTAGTTCAGTGAAAATGGACGTCATACTAAACTCCAAAACATATAAATGAACTAAAATTAAAAAACATATAAGACTAACAAAGGCCAGAGGCTCCTGACTTGGGACAGGCGCAAAAAATGCGGCGGGTTAAACATGTTTAGTGAAATCTCAACCCTCCCCCTATACCTCTAGCCAAAGTAGAAAAAACAAACACACAGTAATATGCACAGTAAAATTCAGTTCAAAAGAAGTCCGAGTCCGATGTCAGAATAGGTAACAAAAGAAACTAAGCAAAATGACAATGATACATAAATTAACAAAGGACTACTAGCAGTTACTGACATGCCAGCTCCAGACCTCAATTAAACTGATTGAAAGATTATGTCTTCATCATATGAAAATCAAGCATAATCTCTCCCGTTAGGGGTTTAGTATCATACCATCATAAAATATATGAGAAGAACATAATCCGTGTCATGCCAATAACTGGTTTTAGAATAAATTCTTCCTATAAATACATCGAAAGTTCATTGTTGATAAATCATTTTGATAATCCGTCAACCTATAAAGATTCAGTTATGAGCAGGAAAAGGAGTCCCAATTTCACAAAATCATCTTTATTCTATGTCTGCGTATATTTTGTTGTCATCGTCTGAGGTACATAAAACTACAACAGCCATATTTGTTTACAACTC